TTGTCTTTGTTTGTGGTGCAACAATCTAAATGTGTTTCCTCATGTTTAGTTTTAAGCATTAAAGTGAAAAAAATGTAGGTTGGCAGTAAAATGTACCTCAATAGCATCAATCAACTCCCCCCAATTTTCTGCAAAATTTGTCAAAATTCCCCCCCCCCCAATTTTCGGCAAACATTTCCACTCTTTTTTATTGGCCCAGATGGTGGGGCTTGGTGCAGCAAGACAGTCCTGTAGTTGGAGCAGTTGCCTCGCAAGTGAGTGGAGCCAGGTTCGATTCCTGGTCGGGGCGAAATCTTAGGCAAGTTTTTTACTCCACACACCTCTGTTTATCTATGGGGAAGTAGGAACCCGGCGGAACGTTTTCTGGGGGTAATAATCCCTTATCCAAAAAAATCATTCAATCCACGACTGTGTCTTGGGCACTGCTGTGAGCCAGTGAGCCTGCTGCGTTTCACCCACAAAATACATTTCTGGGTTTTCAAATAGTTGGGTTAATGGTCAAATTGAATGGTCATTGGGGTAATCGTCATTTGGCTACAAAAACAGTGACTACACTTGACAGTAATTATTGTGAAGTGCTTTCACAGTTCACGTGAAATGAAATTGTAAAAATTGCAGTTCTTTCACTTTCTTAGGGAACTGGTTGTTTGTATAGTCAAATCCGAACAGCAAGTTGTGTTTGTAGCTTTTGGTTTGCTTAATTCCCCAGGCAATGAGATCAAATGTATGAGCTGATGTGTTACAAGCATGTGATTGTGTGGGATGCTGAACCGAAATTTAGTATCCTTTTAACACTGTTTTCTGACAGCACAGCAGAACCTATCTGCACCCTTATGACAGTGGAGGCTAAAGTGACAGGCACACACATTCCAGGGCATCATGTGGTGGTGAGCCTGTGTTACTGGAACTGTTTCCTGTAGGTTCGGAAAAAGCAAGGGATCCTTGGCTTTCTTACTTTAATATTTCCCGGGAGCAACAGCTTGTGATCTTTTGCACAAGAATTGCGGTGCTGGACTAAATCCGTGTGAGTGAGCCTGGGTGGTGGAGTCTTAGTTGTATATTGGTGGCATTCAAACCCACAAGTTAAACGTAAAGCCTAATATAGGGGTCTAATATAACATTAATAATAATCTTCATTTAATATAGCATCTTATCACGTCGAGACGTCTCAAGCGTTTCGCAGAATATACTGTAAAGTGAATTGACTATATTTTGTGGGCAAAAAGTGACAACCAATTGCGCACAGCAGTGTCCCACAAACAGTCGTGGATTGAGTGACCGATTTATTATTTCTTTTTGAAGGGATTATTAACCTCAGAAAGCGATCTGCCATTCGATTAACAGCAGGGGTCCAACTTACTGCTAGGTAAACAGAGGCATGTAGAGTAAGGAAACTTGCCTAAGGTTTCACCCTGCCCGGGAATCAAACTCAGGTCATCTCGCTTGCGAAGTGAGTGCTCTAACCAATACGCTGCATACAGGACTCCACAAATATGCAGCAAATTCTATTAGAATTTCTTAATAAGGAAAGTGAAAGTACCTAACATAACCTGCGGGAACGCGACTGTAATGTGCTCTGCTTTCAAAGTAGTGACATGATTGCTTACTGGAAGGAGTGCCTACTCAATTTACTTTATGAAAGAACTTTGCTTGACATGACTGCATGTTCAATATCATAATTTGGGCATAATTTGATAATTTGTGATTATCCTTTTTTGTTTTTGTAAGTAAATGGTCCTCTCGTTTTGGGTTTGTAGGGATAATTGGAGAGGTTCAGGTCACGTATATAAATATCCAGTGCAACGGCAATGACTTAGGAATGTTGTCCAAGCTGGTTAGGCCTGCACAAGATTGGTTTACATAAAGTCACCCGCTATTAGCACTGTTCAGTACCGAAGACATTGTGGAGAGACCCAGTTTCTCCTTTGATATGTTATTTGGCTTTTCAGCCTGTTGAGACTCTGGGTGGGCTTCTAATTTCAGTATCTCTGTAATGTAAACACTGCACATTTGCCTTCTTGTTCTTCTTTGTTCCTATAATAAACAATGTTTTAATAATAATAATAATCCTTGCATTTGATATAGTGCCTTATCACGTCGTCAAGATGTCTCAAAGCGCTTCATGCGATCTCCTGTAAAGTTGATTAAATGTGTATTTTGTGGGTGATATGCAGCAGCCAGTTGCACACAGCAGTGTCCCACACACAGGCATGGAGTGAGTGTTTTATTTGGGTGATTTGTTGGGCAGGACATTTGTGGGGTGGGGAGAGGGGAGAAACTCTTCTCTTTTTGTAGAGTCATTGGATCTTTAACATCTATCTGAACAAGCACAAGTGGGACTTTGGTTTAAAATCGCATCTGAAGGATAGCACCTCTGATGATGGAACATTTCTTAGCATTGCATTGGAATGTCAGCTTATAAATAATAATAATCCTTGCATTTGATATAGCGCTTTTCACATCTTCTAGATGCCTCAAAGTGCTTCACAGAATATGCTGTAAAGTGAAATGACCGTATATTTGTGGGCGAAAAGCAGCAGCCAATTATGCACAGCAATGTCCCACAAACAGTTGTGGATTGAAAATGACCAATTTTTTATTAAATTTTTTTTGGAGGGATTATTATTAGGCGTGTGGAGTAAGGAAACTTGCCCAAGGTTTCGCCCTGCCTGGAGTTGAACCCAGGTGTCTCGCTTGCAAGGCGAGTGCTCTAATCACTGAGCTACAGGACTCCACAAGCTTAGACCAGGGGTGGGCAATTATTTTGGCTGGTGGGCCACTTCACAAGTTTTGGTAAGCTTCATGGGCCATACACTTAATATAGATGCAAATGCTTAATAATAGCTCAAAATTAGGTCTTACACGTGTACATGCATAAAATAAAGTCTATATAATTGACATTCATTAAAATTAGGTTAAATAAAAACAACTTATTGAGCAGACATTTATTTGATATTTATTCACTTATTGATGAGAATATGAGAAGCTCACTGTGGGAAGAATGAAAGCGATGATGTGCGTTGACCAAACAACTGAAGTCAGGCGTCGTCTCTGTTGTTGCAGTGTGGAGTACTGCTGCAAGGTGGTCATCAGTCATCGCAGATCTATGTTTTGATTTATTGAATTTCATCACAAAAAATGTCTCCTCGCATATGTATGTTGATCCAAGCAGCATCCTCCGGGCATGAGCCTTTATTTTTGGAAAGGTATATTAAGAGAGGCGTAAAAACTGGGAAGAGGCACTGATTTGAATTGCTCTGCAAGCAATGGATCACATTGCAGGTCAATAAGCTTGAGTTGGAAGTCAAATGAGGCTTTGTCAACATCAAATGAGTCCAAAGACAGGTCATTTTCGATCAAATTAAAATCCTGGAATCGGCAAGAAAATTTGGCATGTCAGTCAATTAGTGACGAAGTATACTTTTTAAGGCTTTGATCGCAAACAATAATCTACTGCAAAGTTGGAAAGTGGGCAAGCAGCCTGTTTCCTATCTGACGCGGTAAAATAAATAATTTTGTCATAAATGACTTGACACTGCAATACAAATCATGCATAAAGGCCCCCTTCTGTTGCAGTTTTGAATTCAGTTCATTCATGTGGCCCATGATATCAATGGCAAATGTGAAATCAGAGAGCCAATTCGCATCTTTCAGCTGCGGGAAATCTGGATCTTTTTGTTTCATGCCCAAAAATCAATCAATTTCTGTTCTCAGTTCCCACACTCTTTTCAAGACCTTTCCTAAACTAAGCCATCTTACATTCATGTGATACAGACCATCCGTGTGCTCGGATTCCAATTCCTCAAGCAGAGTTACAAATTGCCTGTGGTTTAATCCTCTTGCTCGAATGTAGTTGACCACTTCCGTAACTGTGTTCATGACATTGCTTAGTTTTAGAACACTCTTAAAGAGGACCTCTTGGTGGATAATGCAGTATAGAAAAACAATATTCTGTTCTGGATTTGTTTTTTTGACTTGATCTTGAATTCTTTTCAGTAACCCAACATTTTTGCCTGTCAGATTTGGGCTTTCAATAATTTTTTCTACTCCACTCCTAATTTTAAGATACACTTATTTACTGCCTCCAAAAAGTCTTCTCTAGTTGTCGTAACTTTCATTGACTGCATTGATGCCAATTCTTCTGTGAGCTCAAAATGTTTGGTGATACCTCGAATAAAAATTATCAACTGGGCTGTGTCTTTGACATCACAACTCTCATCGAGTGCCAGTGAAAAACATGCAAAATTGCTTACTTTATTTTGTAACTGCAGATACAGGTTCTCAGAGATATCCTCGACACGTCTCACAATAGTTTGCCTTGACAAGCAAATGTTCTCGAACTGGCATAAAATCGAGGCAGAGTCAACCATACATTCCTTTATAAATTCTCCTTCAGAGAATGGTTTGCTGTTCTTGGCGATTTTGTCTGCAATCACGTAACTCACTCTTGTAATCTCTAATTGTTTTGTGAAAGTGCTTTGCTCTTTTTGCATTCGAACAACCATCTCATCAGCTTTCTTTCCTTTTTCTTTGGCAGAAACGTTCTTATATTTGCAAGCATGTTTGCTCTCAAAATGGCGAATCAAGTTGTAGTCTTTGAGCACTGCCACACTTTCTTTGCAAATTAAGTACACAGCTTTTCCACCCACACTGGTAAAAAAAAATATTCTGAAGTCCATTCTTTGTTGAATATTCGGCCTTCAGTGTCCACTTTCCGCTTCTTTGATAAACTCATTCGAATTAACGCCTTCTTCAGTGAAAAGTATGGCCGCACGCGTGTTTGAAAATTTGCCAATCTGTATATTTCTGACGTCAGCCTGATTCAACACTTAAGGGAGCGTGCGCACAACTAAGCAGTGTGATTGGCTGATGATGTTCCTGGTCAGATTGAAATGCAAAATTTGTGGGACTTTTAGATTGCTTTCTCAGAGGTAATATTAAAGTAGAGAAGTATTTTTTATTTATATTTAAAAATGCTAAGTTACGTTTTCTTTTTCTAGTTTGTATCCACCTTACCTGAAGATATGAAACCAGGTCCTGATTTCTATGGGCTCCCCTGGGAGCCTGTATTGATGACTGTCTTTGTTGGCATCCTTACCTTGCTCATCTTCTTCTGGAGAACTTGCCTTTCGGTGAGTAGAATTGCTTAGATTTCTCTTAATTCCTATAGACCTTAAATGTAAATTAGAAAGTGACAGCAAGATTGCATTGTCTTTGTCTTCAAAAGGTCTGCATACCAACATGGGTATAGTCACAGCCTTAGGATTGTTGACTTAAAACAATGGGAGGGGGTTATGGTTTCAGGCTGGGTTTGCCAAATGCTTCCATCATTGTTGTTTTTCAATGTGCTCTTTTGTTTCAGGTGAAGAGCAGAAGGTATCAAAGTAAGTTTGTGATGCACGTATCATTCATTCGTACGGAATCTGCTAGTCAGATGGGTGGCGTTGGAGAAATGGTGGCTTCCTGGTGTTCAGTCTTCCACAGGGGCTGGAGGTGGTGGGGGTGTTAAAACTATATATACATTGAAGCTGTGCAGCACAAAACCTGTCCCAACTGGGTCCATCTTACTCATTAGGAGTTTGATTTGGGAGCGTTGAGAATGTCTTGACACCTCCTAACTCTGCGACCAGGAAAAACCCAAGTGTCCTGTCCCCTCTTGGAGGATGTTAAAGATATGTAGACCTGGTGCTCATTTTATCCAAAGGCTGAAGGGCTAAACGGAACCCACTGGAGTTTGAAGCCAGAGCCTCGGGACCCAAGTTCTTTTGCCCCAACCTGCATGTACCTGGGGTTTGAGGTTTGAATCAGATGATTCTATAGAGGAATTATATTCGGTTATGAATTAGTTGTAAAATTAAAAATGTTGCTTTTTAATTTTTTTTCAGTGACAGAAAAACAACTGTCTGACAAAATTCAACAGCTTATTCAGGAGAAAGCGGAGGTTTTGGATAAAGTATCCACTTATGAAAATAAGGTAATAATTTATTCCCTGGTTTATTTATGTTGTTATAGGGAGAATAACAAAACATTTCCAGCACTTAAGGAAACTATTTGATCCGTTGTGTCCATCCTAGCCCACTCCTTCACTGGAGTTCTCTACTATAATCCCATTCCCTTGCTATTTCCCCATCATGTCTACGCTGGTGCTTGCTGCCTTACTGGAGCTCTCTCGTCTAATCCCATTCCCTGCTTTTTCCCCCATTGTCTCCGTATTGGTGCCTGCTCCCCCATTGGAGCTCTCTAATCTCATTCCCCTCTCGACCCCCATAGTTTCTGTGCTGGTCCTTGCTCCCCCACTGGAGCAGAGGCGGCGTCCCAGCCAATCTTGCCATCACCCTGACGTTTATACATGCACATAGAGTGTGCACGTACATGCACATATGTGCACATACATGCATGTAGGTGGCCCTGGACAGAAATAAGGAGCAGGATCCCTGCTGAATCTCCCCCACCTAACCCACGAGAAGTTGAGGCCAATTGCGCCTTGACTACTGCCTCAATTTAGATCAGTAACTCAGCACAGGCTGGGATTGAAATGGCAACTTTGTGTGCCTTCTGACTTAGTTCTTCACCATCACCAACAACTTGCATTTATGTAGCCCCTTCACGCAGTGTAGTGTCTCAGAGCGCTTAAGGCCTAGGCCATCGATGGAAATAGCTGGTGAACCAATTCACTCTTTGGATTTATTGGGTATTTTGTAGTAGTAAACACCATTAATTGAGATATCTAGAAGACGTGAAAAGCGCTATATCAAATGCAAGGATTATTATTATTAATTTTTAAGAAAGCTTGTTTTAAATGCTCAAGCTTGTCTCTCTTTCCCTCTCCCAAACTGTTTAGTTGCAAGAAGCCAAATATGTGATGGAAGATGCCCAGAAGGTGAATGCAACTGTGTCTGATGAGAGCAAAGAAATTCGGGTGAGAACATATCTTCATGTACTTTGAGTGCTTTTCAATGGTTCATTTTAAAAAATGGATCTTTTTTAAAAATAGTCCCAAACCAGGGTTTTGATCTTACAGTCCAGGCTGATATTCCAGCGCAGTGCTAAGGGTAGAAGACGTGAAAATTGATAGAGATTGGTAGAGATGTTAAATTAAGGTCTTGTCTGCCAGTCCACGTGGACGAAAAATATCTTGTTTCTTCCAGTGTCCTGGCCAACAGTCTTCAAGTTAAAGTTGTTGGCCAGGACACGTGATTATAGATATGTATCTATAAATTTGTCCTTCACTTCAAAGATGTTTGTGGGACTTTGCTGCATGTAGACTGGCTACCTACACATACGCAGTCACTACATAGTCAGCAATTATGTGTGACGTACATTGAGACATTCCAGCATTCCAGGCACTAAATCAAATTAATAATGATCACAATAATAATAAAAGGAAAACACAATTCTTCTTTCCACAGGAGTCATGCCGTGAGCTTGAGCAAGTGAACCTCCATCTGGAGAAGCGGGTGAAAGACCTCCAGGCTTCTTTAGACAAAGAGAAGCAGCAGAGCACCAAACAGCAGGATTTGGTAAGCTTGTGCAAATGTGCCAAACCCATCATAGACCAATGTAACCTTATACAGTAGTCTCTTTCCCTGGCTTCCCCCAAACAAGTTTCTCTCCTGAAAAGCAACATCTCCTGCTAGGGTACTTCCCTCAAGTGCTGAATGCCCTCTACTATCTTCACAAGGTCCCTTCCTTTGCCTGTGAGAGTCAGCAGGCTCTTTGACCATATCCTCCTCAGGTGAAAGGCTTATAAGGATTATTCTAGATGGCGTAAAAATTCCGCCTTTGCATTTCTGATCTAAGGAAACACCTTTACTGTAGATTGGTGACTGTGTATTTTGTTAATACATCGTGGAGTCCTGTAGCTCAGTGGTTAGAGCACTCGCTTTGCAAGCGAGAGACCTGAGTACAATTCCAGGCAGGTCAGGGCGAAACCTTGGGCAAGTTTCCTTACTCCACACAGAGCCTAATAATAATCCCTCCAAAACCAAAAACAATAATAAATTGGTCATTTTCAATCTACGACGGTTTGTGGGACATTGCTGTGCGCAATTGGCTGCCGCGTTCGCCCACAAATATACAGTCAATTCACTTTACAGTGTGTTCTGTGAAGCGCTTTGGGACGTCCTCCTGACGTGAAAAGCGCTATATCAAATGCAAGGATTATTATTATTATTGGAACGTGTCACAGTGAATCCTATGAAGAGCTTTGACACATTTTGAAGATGAGATAAGACATTATATCAAATTGAAATATTAGTTATTTACTAATTTAATTTTGTACAAATGGTACAACAACTTGTATTTATATAGCACCCTTATATAGGCATGGTCGAAGAGGAAGATCTTCAGGCATGAACTGAAGATGGGGAAGGAGGGGGTAAGGCGGAAGGATAAAGAGAGAGAGTTCCAGAATTTCGGGGCATAGTGGCTGAAAGTGTGGCCAATGATGGTGGAACAGAGGGGATGAGGGCAAGCAGGAGTCTGGAGCAGGTCAAGTGGAGGCAACGGGTAGTGGGTTGAAAAGTAAGGCGGTTGGAGAGGTAGGTAGGTGCCAGGGCACAGAGGGATTTGAAGATGAGTGTGAGGATCTTGAAATGCTCCTTCTGTTGGAAAGAAAAGTATAACGTCTTAAGTGTGATATTTAGGAGTTTGGGCTGAGTAACTGCTTCATTTAACCTTTGTTAGCTATTTTTCCTTAGTTGATCCTCAACATTTTCTTTTTCGTCTCTTTTAAAACCCAGATTTTAGAAACTCAGAATTCTGTGAAGAAATTACAGGAGGCTATTTCCCTGCATTCGGTAGAGCTCTCCCAGGTATGTTTTAATCAGCACATAGACTCATGGCAGTGTCTCTACCACTGGTCTAACTACCGCTAGCTAATTGACGTGTTTTAGTCCCTGTGTAACCACACTGACGCTGCCAATTAAACTTGCTTATGGTGAGTTCAAATTATGCCCGGCGCAGTGAACTGAACAGATGTCAAATCTTACAGTACAGTGTGGGCTTTCTAAGATGCTTATATTATTATGTAAAGAAATGATTGAGATTATTTTGTGTATATATCAGGTTTTTGTTGTTTCCATGTGCGTCTCTTGCTTGGTGTGGTTGTGAGTCTGTTTCTGTGTGTGTCCCTCGTATCCGCGCCAGGCACCGCCTTCCATCACCTCCGGAATGTCGCCAGACTACGGCACTACCTCACCCTTCACGCTGCTGAAACTCTGGTCCACGCCTTTATCACCTCAAGGCTGGACTATGGGAACTCTCTCCTCGCCGGCCTTCCCGCCACCTCCCTCCACAAGCTGCAGGTCATTCAGAACTCTGCAGCTTGTGTACTGTCCCGCACCAGACACCGCGACCACATCACTCCCACCCTCGCTCGCCTCCACTGGCTCCCCATCCCCCAGAGGATCGATTTCAAGATCCTCATCCTCACCTACAAGGCCATTCACGGCCTTGCTCCCTCCTACCTCTCTGACCTACTATCCCCCTGCCTACCTGCCCGTACCCTCTGTTCCTCTGGCTCCGGTCTGCTCCACATCCCCCGCCCCATCGGTGGCCGGGCCTTCAGCCTCTCAGCCCCTAGGCTCTGGAACTCTATTCCCCAGTGTCTTCGCCGCCTCCTCCCTTTCCTCCTTCAAGGCCGGTCTCAAGACCTTTCTCTTTGACCGTGCCTTCAGCTCCCCTCTCGACTCTCTACCCCCTCCTTGCTCCCTCCCCTCACCCTGACCATTTCCCCCCTGCTCGGGTCCTGACCCAACTGTACAGCGCCTTGGGATGTCCTCCCGACGTGAAAGGCACTCAATAAATGGAATCTTGTTGTTGTTTGAGTCTCTCTTCTACCTGTCTCTGTGTTTGTTGCTGCAGAGTTTCCATCAGTAAAAGCTTAAAGGAACATGTGTTTATGTTATGTCTGTGAGCACTTCTGAAGACCCAGTGGGTAGAGTGATGTTTGGTGCAGCACTGGATTGCACTGTACCAGAAACTTGCAAGTTATAAACTCACTCATTCAGCTGATCTCTGGTGTGCAATTAGTTTCAGTCCCCTGGCTAGGTAGGGGACAAAATTAGCTCCTGATCATTATCTGGAAGCATTCCCCCCCACCCTTTGTTGGAAGGTGTGGTGCAGGTTTGGGCTCAGCTATGCTACCCTGTGATCAATTGGACTGAGGGCACCTGTGGACGATTGGAAGGGGAAAAAAAGGAATCAAATGCCACCAGGAGAGGGGAGGAGAAATTTGCGAGAGTGAGAGAAAACAAAAGGGAAATTATATCCTTGACCAGAATGAGCACTGTGAAAGTGGAGTGTAGGGTGAACCTGCAGATAGACCCGTGTAACTGTGAGGACTCTTCAGTTGCAGGAATCTCTTTATAAAGCCAAGTCCCGTGAGGAGAGAGCGCATTCAGACCTGCAGTCAGTGCTGGAAGAAAATGCTCAGCTCAAGCAGAGCAAAGATCAGGTGAGCATCTTACTCAGGAACTATTTCAGGCAGGAGTACAGGGTGTTACCCCCTGTTACAAAACAGCGATATGAGACTATGGAGGAGCTGAATCAAGCCGTCAGAGATACATTTGACCTTGTCACTCCATCCATGTTAAGGAAGATGTGGCACCAAACATGGCGACAGATCGTTATCTGTCATGAAAATGATGGCGCTCACACAGACTGATCCTCTGGACATCTAAAGACAGTTAAAGACTTGTACTGAATACAATTGAATACAATTATCATTTTCCCATATGTTTCAGTTGTTGGTCAATGCAATGTGTGCGTAAAAAAAAAAAAATACACAGCAACAAAAAACATGGAGTAACAGGACTTTGTGGACACCCTATAGACTGTTGGTCCATCTTCCCTCCCAGTATCTCACGTTTTTTCGATGCATATGTCTCTGAATCACGTAACTCAATACGTAGCAAGGTCCACAAATGTACTGAGGAATTTTGACCACAGAAGTGGGTTAACCTTGTGTGTTTGTATTACTGTACCATGTACATGATTGGAAAATAACTGAGCACATTAGCAAGTTGACTACATTAGTGGGATGAGTTTAAGGTGAGTTTCCACAGTACTAGGAACAGGAGGAGGCCATTAAGCCTGCTTTGATAGTTCATTAGATCATGACAGATCTTTCAATCCTATTTCTGTTTTTTCTCTGTACCCCACTTAATATTCTTACTTCCCAAGTTTACTTCCCTTTTAAACATCTGAATTGATTCTGCCTTTATGCCCTTCAAGAGCAGTGCATTTCATGTTTTACAGTTGCTGCTTGTCTGTTTTACATGCTCTTCACCCTAGGTTGAAAAGATATTCTAAATTTCCTATTCTTTGGTTGTCTTTAATATGGACCACCCTAACCCTGTTTTTGAATTTTGTATCCGGCAGAAAAATGTATCTGGATTGAAATTTTCTAAATTCCTTTTCTCTCTGTCAACATATAAGAATCCCAAGATATCTACTCTTTTCTTAAGTTTTGGTATTTCAATTCTGGTGTCAATTTAGTAATCCTCCACAAAGGGAATGTCTCTTGAGATAGTTTAGTAGTCTCTCACTCTGGGTCAGAAACTTGTGCTTTCAAGCTCAACATTAGGAGTTGATCTCACAGTCCTGGGTCGTTGGAGGTGTCGTCTTTCAGACATTAAACTGAGGTCCCCTTTGCTTGTTCTTGTTGATGTTAAAGATCCGATGACACTATTGGCAAAGTGAAGGGAATCCTGGCCAACAATCCTCCAGATTAATGGGCTACTCACCTCGTAACTGTTTGTGGGCCCTTGACGTGCGCACAATAGTGCCAGTGTTTGGCTTCAAAATGGTTACTACCCTTGGCAGTAATTACTTGCAAAAGTCTTTGAGACGTTTCTTTGTGATAAGATGATTATAAGGGTACTTTTGATCTTTTCTTAACTGGTACCTAAAGCTTTTCTCTGCAAAAAGCCAATCTTACATCTCTCATGAGTTTTGATTTTGTGGCTTTCAGCTTCTGAAAGAGGCAGAGGGCTGGAGCGAGAGACATGGGGAGCTGAATGAGCAGATTAAACTGTGCCAGAAAGCTCAGCGAGACCTGGAGGAAACACTGGTTTATAAAGATAATGAAATTGAGGTATGTGGTGCCCAACAACATTTATATTTACATCATGGGAGGGTCGGATGAAGAAGGCCCTTTGACCCATTTGTTCTCATTTGTGAAATCCATATCGAGTGGTTAGCAGGCTCGCCTCGCAAGTGAGAGAACCTGAGTTCGATTCACAGGCAGAGCAAAACCTTAGGCAAGTTTCCTTACTGCACACTTCTCTGTTTATCTGGCAGTAAGTAAAAACCTGAATGTTAGTTATTCTGGGTCTTCTAATCCCTCAAAAAAAATGGGGTTAATCAATGCATGACTGTTTGTGGGATACTGCTGTGCGCAATTGGTTGCTGTGTTTCGCCCACAAAATACACAATCACTCCACTTTACAGTATATTATGTGAAGCGCTTTGAGACGTCTAGAAGATGTGAAACGCGCTATATCACATGCAAGGATTATTAATATTCTGTAAAGCGCTTTGAAACGCCTCAACGATGCGATAAGGTTCTATATCAAATACAAGTATTATTCTAGGTGCTGACAGACTGTGTGATGCAACTCAGGCAGCTCGATGCTGATTCTGACAACGACGTTGGCTATGGGTGGGACAAAGAGGTGGAGAGCGAGATGCCTAATGGTGAGCCTCCAGGTAAACCTGTGCAACAAACTATCATTGGGGCTCGTCTGATTCTCACTTAGTGAGCAGCAGCCAAGATCGATTCTCATTCATGTCCAAAGCTCAAATACAGTACATTCTGTGAAGCGCTTTGTGACGTCTAGAAGACGTGAAAAGCACTATATCAAATGCAAGGATTATAACATAACATGTAGGAGCAGGAGTAGGCCATTCGACCCTTCGAGCCTGCCCCGCCATTCAATCATGGCTGATCTTCTAATCTAACTCCAGCTAATAACCTAACCTTGCCTTATCCCCATATCCCTTAATACCTTTTGCAATAAGAAATCTATCTATTTCAGTCTTGAATATGTTCAAGGACTGAGTGTCAACAGCCCTTTGGGGTAGCGAGTTCCATACATTCACCACCCTATGAGTGAAGAAGTTCTTCCTCAACTCAGTGCGAAAGGGCTGGCCTCTGATTTTAAGGTTGTGACCCCTGGTTTTAGTTTCTCCAACCAGGGGAAACAATCTCCCACTATCTATTCCATCATGCCCTTTGATGATCTTATAGGTTTCTATAAGATCCCCTCTAATTCTTCTATATTCTAGAGAATATAGGCCCAAATTGGTCAGCCTATCCTCGTAACTCATCCGCTTCATCCCTGGTACTAACCTAGTAAATCTACGCTGCACCCCTTCCAAGGCAAGTACATCCTTCCTTAAATAAGGAGACCAAAACTGCACACAGTATTCCAGGTGTGGTCTCACCAGGGCCCTATACAGTTGCAGCAAGACTTCCCTATTCTTATACTCTAATCTTTTCATAATGAATGCTAACATACCGTTTGCCTTCCTAATTGCTGCTGCACCTGCAGACTAACTTTCTGTGATTGGTGTACAAGGACACCCAAGTCCCTCTGGACGCTAACACATTCAGTGTAATATTATTAATAATAATATTATAAAGCAATGTGGATTTGGAGACTGTTTTGGGAGCGAGAGTGTTTGCAATAGGAACCTGGGAGCATGGGTAGCCCAGTCAGTCGCTCAAGTCTGTTCCTGCCATTCTATTAGATTATGCTGATCTGTACCACAACTCCATTTACCCTCCATTTACATAAAATATTAATGTAATTTTTTTGTAGCAGGGAATTAGCATTAGAGTAGATGGAAGGCGCTAGCATTAGCACAGGCTCACTGGGCTAAATGGTTTCCAGATATCTTCTCGATGTTATTACTGAAACAAAGCCTTTCATTTTTCTTGCAGACAAAACCAAGAGGGCTAAAATGAAGATTCAGCAAATGATGGATGTTTCGAGGGTAAGTGGTGAAGCTCCATTTTTTTTGAGTTGGGGTTTAGTGGGGGGAATGGTTGGTTTGAGTTTGGGGTGGGGGGGGGAAGTAACTGGTTTGACTAGAGGTGGAGTGGCTAATTGTGAGAATGGGGGGGGCAACTAGTTTGAGTAAGAAGTTCCGGCTGGTTTGAATGGGTGCATTTGGATTGAGTTGGGTGGCAGTTTAGTGATGTGGCGTGTTTATCCTGGGTGGGTACAAGATTCCATCTGTTCATTTCCTGCAGGTAAAAACCACCCTGAAGATAATTGAGGAAGAACGTGACCATTTCCAAGCCAAGCTGTGTGATGAGATAAAAGCCAGGCATGAATTGGAGGGTAAGATGGTTGGCTTTGGTTTTTAATCTGTTTAATAAACCCATTGATGGTGAATTAGTGGAAGGTGAGAATGAGATTATCTTGATAATGATCTTGAAGCCTGTCTCTCAGAGAGTAGAGGATGTGTTAGATGTGTGTAAAAGGTTAAGCTGTTGGAACTCTCTCGTTGTCTTTGATCTAGTGGAGACTTTTGAAACTTATGATCAGCAAGTCAGATGTAAACAGACACAAGCAGACGTAAATTTATGAGATTATTACCATAAGGAAAAAGAGGAGGTTAAAGAATGCTGCTTTTAACACACACTGGGGAGGAGCAGGGGAATGGGATTAGATTAGAGAGCTCCAGACATCCATGTATGTCATCCACATACATATGGAAGTTGACCCCATGTCTGCGAATGATATCACCAAGAGGGAGCATATAGATATTGAAGAGGAGTGGACCAAGGAAAGAGCCCTGAGGCTCTCAATGTTATCAATGTAAACTAAGCAGTTTCAGCTGGTTAGACCCAAGCTTTGGCTCTTGCCAACTTATTCCTAATACTTTCTGGAATTAGGTAAACTGGATGTGTCCCTCCAGGGAGAGAGTGCACAATCCATCCCAACAATCTGGTTCTAGGATTTCCACATGTAGATGAGATGCTTGGAATTTTTGGTTTGGATACTGGTAAGCATAGAGATGGGTTTCTTCATGTGTTAGACACCTGGCTGATCAAAAAAAAATGTAAAGAAAAACTTATGATTAACTTAAATTTTATCCTTCCCTCTGGGCGGGAAGGGTGGAGGAAAACGGCCCGTCTCGTGAGTATCATAAATCTGATCTCACCGTTGCCTCCCTGCTCTTCTCGGCCAGAGACCAAGGCATTGGTGTGAAGTCCAGAATCGATTTATGTCTTAATGTGAAACTTCCTCTGGCGCAGAGCAAATCCAGCAGCTGGAGCATGACTATGTGTCCACGGGGACAGAGAGGTCCAGGCTGGAGAACGAGTTTAAAACCATGCAGCAGAAGCTGGAGATCCTAACCGAGCTCTATCACCAGAAGGAGATGGCCCTGCAGAAGTGAGTGACCTTATCAACAGATGCCCTTCCTGCATCGCTTGGTGCAGATGTGAGGTAGAAAGGATAGTTGAGGGTCAAACAAGACGCCAAGGTGCCTGACTGGCTCAGTGAGGTGGATTGTGCAACCATGGACGGTGATGCTGTCAGTACCTGAGGTGTGGAGTCGCTGATGGGAGCCAATCACGAGAGCCTTGGTCTTCTTGACTTTCATCTGTAGAAAGTTAGCTCTCATCAGGACTTGATGTCAAACACCGCTTGTTTTGGTTAACTGGCATTTTATCTTTCTTTTACCCCCATCCTGCAGGAAACTGACGCAGGAGGAGGTCCAGCGCCAGGAAAAGGAGCAGAAGCTGTCGGTGGCTGATGAGCGGGCACTTCAGGCTGTAGAGGAGGTGAAGATGTACAAGTGAGTGCTCTGGTGACTTCCGCCTGCCTAAAGGATCGTGGCAACAGCTTGTATAGTGCCCTTTATGTGAGATAGTGTCTTTATGTGAGATAGTGAGTGCTGAACAGTGGTGGATTTTGACATCGAGCTGAGGAGCCAGTGGAGCTGTGTGAGAGTGGGGATGATAGGGTCATGGAGCTTGGTACGGGAGAGGACACGAGCTGTAGATGTCTGAATGATCTGCAGCTTGTGGAGGGAAGGGTTGGAAAAGCTGACAAGCAGGATGTTAGCGTAGTTGAGGCTGGATGTGATGACATTCTGTCTGTGCCTTTGCTGATCGGATTCTTAATTCCTCAGGCAAAGAATTCAAGAGATGGAGGAGGAGCTGCAGAAGACTGAGAGATCGTTCAAAAATCAGGTAAAAAAGGGTAAACTTATGGAGTCATGTAGCTGTGTGTTTGTCACTGATATTCCTGTCCTGCAGTACAGCAAGCCATGTGAGCAGGACCAGACGATGAGTAGTCACTCCTCACTCTCTGTGCACCAGTTCCTGTTTATTAAAACTGTATTCCCTGTCTTTATTTTTACCAGATTGCTACACACGAGAAGAAGGCTCATGAAAACTGGGTGAGTACGAGGCCTGACTCCCATTATCTGCGGGTCCAGACTTCAGTTTTTAGTTTTCTCTCTTGTTTCTGACCAACGTGGAAACAAAAATTTTTATTAAATCCCAAATGGCAGCTTGATTTAAAGGGGTGTTCCTTTAGTCTTCAAAGCTTTGACCTTGGATCCTGTTGAACAAGCATACATGTGCAAGCAAATAACAACAGCTTGCAATTATATAGTGCTCCTCACTCAGGGTAGCGTCCCCGAGCGCTCAACAGTGGAAGAGTACGACACCGATCTGGGGTATGGGGGAGGTGACCGTAAGCACGTTTGAAGAGCAAGGGCTTTGGGCACGACTTGAAGATGGGGAAGGAGGGAGCAAGGCATTGGGATTGAGGGAGAGTGTTCCAGACTTTTGGGATGAAGTGGCTGCAAGCGCTAAATGTCTCCTTTTTCTGTGCTGATTTTTTTTGCACCTGCTTAATGTGTAGAAATTTATATTGTAAAGTAACTACACTGAGATTCGGAAAGAGACTCCTAGAAGGTTCTAATACACAAATGTCAAATCTACGCTGGTGTGTTTGTCCACAAGAGACACCTAGTCTAATCCCAACCTTCAATATTTCTTCTCTTCAAGTATCCATCTAATTCCCTTTAAAAGAATTGATTGTCTCTGCTTCAGTATTGGTTTGAGTCCGAGAGTTTCACATTCATAGAATCACAGATGTTACAGCACAGAAGGTGGCCATTCTGCCATCTTTGAAAGAGCTACCAACTAGTCCCACTCCTCCACTCTTACCCCATAGCCCTGCAAATGTTTCCTTTTTAAGTACCTATCTACTTCTCTTTTAAAACCTATTATTGAATCTGCTTCCACCACACTTTCAGGCAGTGCATTTTAGACTAATAACTAGGTAAAAACATTTCTACTTGTCGCCCCTTTGGTTCTTTTGCCAATTGTCTTAAATCTGTGTCTTCTGGTTACCAACCTAACTGCCAGAGGAAACAGTTTCTCCCTATCTACTCTTATCAAAACCCCTCATAGTTTTGAACACCTCCATCACATTCAAAGCACACTTTGTGTTGCTATTTTTCTAACCTTTAACCCTTTAATTCTTTTTCATGATACATTTATGCCTGCTCACGACTGACTCTCAGGATCCAGTGTGAACATGGTGAAGCATTACAATACAAAATACAGTGCAACATTACATTTGTACAGTGCCTTTCAGGTCGAGAATATTGATTGAGCTGTGGTATTTAAAATGAAACTGTTGACAAAAATCTTGTTTCTCCACTAGTTGAGCGCACGTACAGCTGAACGAACATTGACCGAAGAGAAGAGGGAGTCTGCCAATCTCAGACAGAGGTCAGGAATGTTCTTTTAACTACCGTAAACCTCACATAAATGTATCAGTGGGGGCCTATAAATTTAATATGACTTATGTGAAGTATGAGTTATGTTAAACTTGCATAAACTCTTGAATGGGTGATTATATGAGTAATACAGATCAGACGTGTGAGTTTTACTGTATTATACTGCATTTTACTCTATTAATAAATTTAAGGGGGGGATGGATTCTTTCTATGAGGTTTTTATAGGAACAATATGTCAATTAGCTTGTTCCTCAGGTTATTAGATCACAGCAGATCTTTTTCTCCACATTCTTCAGATAGTATCTCCATTTTTAGGGTTACAGGTTCATTTCCAACAACAAGGTTCACAGTCTGGGCTAACACTGGGGGTGGGCGTTGTATTGTCAGAGGTGTTGTCCTTCAGACGAGTGGGTGTTATGAAGATCCCATAACCTATTCAAAAAGAGAAGGGAGTCTTTCTCAGTGTCCTGCCCAACAATCCTCCAGATAAAATTGTTCACGACTGTTTGTGAGACTTCGCTGGGTGATAATTGGCTGCCGCTTTTGTTAAAAATACACAGTTGCTGTATTTGACGAAAATTTGCTGTGAAGTGCTTCAAGACATTTTGATGTTTTATTAAATGATGTATTATTATGTGAAATCATTTCAGGTTAATTGAGTTGAACCAAAAGCTTTCCCAGATCCAAAGACCTTCGATTATCAAGCCCACGCCGGGAAGGCCGGACAGGCAGGTCCCACCTGGAGCACCTCCGCCCCTCGGAGTGCCACGGAGAGGTGAGGAGCAGTGCTTTTCTTTCAGGTGTTGCAAGAAGATGTAATGGTAGGAGGAAGGTCCCTCGTTCTGCCATGGGATTCCCCCACCCCGCCCAAGGAATGCACAGGTTGACAAGAGCCAAGGCTTGGGGTTCACATTAGGTTCGATTACCTGCTCAATTTCCTTTTACATGTTGTTGCTGTCTCTGCCTCAAAAGCAACTTATAGCATCATGGCATCCTGCAGCACAGGAGGCTATTTGGCCCGTCATGCCTGTGCCAGCTCTTTGAACGAGCTACCCAATTAGTCCCACTCCCCCACTTTTTCCCCATAGCCTATAATTATTTCCTAGCAGATGGTGGGGTTTGTATGTTGCTTTGGTTGGTACCTGGCCTCCCTGATGCAGCACTGAGGGACCTTCCAGCAGCGAGCAGGAGCCTTGGCTGTATGCTCTTTTTATGAGGGAATTCACAGCCCAAATTTTGGCCCAGGAAACTGGAATGGTCTCACCTGTGTGGCCCAGTGCTGCACCACGGCGGCGCTTAACCCACCAAGCCTTTGGGGGAAGATTTATGCTTAAAAATCCACCACCAGGACGCTGATCCTAGTTGTCGACTATTGTTGCACCTAAGCTATTGTGCTGCACATTGTTACCCAGTTTTGTCATTCAGGGTGTGGAGCAGTGTTTTCCTGTTGTTGATGTTGCTCTTGTTCTGCAGGTCCACTATCGCGGGATGATTCTTACGGTCCGTCCCCAGTCAGTGGGGGGGCGCCATCACCCCCACTAATGATGGAACTCCCTGGACGGCCTCCCTCCGTCAATGCAGGACGTGGCTTCCCCCGAGATCGGGGTGATGCAGGTAAACAGGGCAAATGGCTGACCTTGGTACAACTCTCTGCATTTAATTTCTTTCCTGAGAAAAAGATGATCTAAAACTTCTCCTCCCCTCTTGCTATGATGTCCTTATACCCCACTCTTCTGTCCACCCACGATGCTGAACTAACACAAGCCTGCTGTGTGTCCCTTGCCCCCACTGTACCGCCATTGCTGGCTGAACCCTCAGTCACTCTGCCCCCAACCTCTATAACACTGCTTCTATCTCTCTATCTTTATATCCCACCTTAAAGCCCTTTTCACCCACATTTATATTCTGTGAAGCACTTTGAGACATCTTAACAATGTGATAAGCTGCTATATCAAATGCAAGAATTATTATTATTATTTATTATTATCTCTCTGACTACGCCTATGGCCACCTCTTCTCCCCCCAATCCTAGGCTTGGTATCCAACTGTGCAGTACCTCAAGATGTTACCCTAAGAAACTCTTGAAATCCCAAGGAATAATGCCGTCGGAATGTTTTGCCTTTCAGCCCTGCGTGGCCCGTCTGGCCCCCCGCCCCCTCGGGAATGGACTGGCCCTGGCTCGGACCGCCTTGGACACTCGTCTGATCATGGCTCCCCCCCACCTCCCTGGGACAGGCGACTTCCGGGACCCCCAGGTAAGTACAACAGGCTTAAAAGGCAACTTCGTGAGGAGACCTACAACAAAGAATATAAGATGCTAATTGGGATTGCCACAGCAAACTGAGAATAATACAGCCAATTTACACACAGCAATGACCCACATGAAGTCATGAGGAATGACCAGTTTTATCTGCGAGATTGATGGCTATGAGAAGCTCCCTTCTCTTTTTGCGCACTGACATGGGTTCTTTAGCCTACCTGAACAGGCCTTCAGTTTAATGTCTCATCCAAAAGGTATCACCTCCAACATAACCCCACCTTTTCCTAATACAGTAAAACTCGCACAAGTCTGATCAGTATCAATTGTATAATCGCTTAAGTTGTACACTTGCCCAAATCCTGGTGAATTTTCTATTTATAAGTTTCACATAATCCATATTTTGAATAAGTTTAGTTCAGATGCCAGAAAGTAAATGACTGGAATGAGTTACCGGGAAGGTGGTTGAAGTCAGAACCCTGGACCCATTTAAGAAATAGCTTGATGCAGCAATGGTGGGGTGGGGTGGAAGAATAATATCAAATGGGCTGAACAACGTTTTGTAAATGTACTGACGCTCCCCTGGTGCTCCAGCAGGTCCCATTGATGGACATCCTGGGCCAAGACGACCTCCTTCAGAATCAGGGCGGATTTCTGGTCCGGGTGAGATTCACAGGCAGCCATCCCCCAGTAGAGCAGGTACGTTTCATTTACTCTTTCTGCCATCAACTCTCTCCCCATCTGCCCTCCTGCAGGTGTGGACTCCTTCCTGGAATCTGGTTCAGCAGAAACTCCTGCCCTCCCAACGCCTCACCCAAGGGATGGGTCTTAAAATTTACAATGATGCAAAATTATGGAAATTTCTGAAATTCAGTTTGAATTTGGAAGCAGGTTTCTTTTTCAGAAAACTGGCTTCCAAATCAGTGGAAAGTATAGTGAGTTTTCTGAAGTCTGATCTGTGAAAGGATTTACAAATTGAGAATGCCACAGGTGCTTCCCAGGCTGACCCTCAGGAACTCCACTTGGATGTTGGTCTCTGTTTTGACTTCCATGAAAGCTGGATCATGGTGAAATGAAATTCACAGCCTGAAGCCTATCTGTTGGCCCATCCTTTTAGTATATCGGCAAATCACACATCTCACTGGACGGTGTTCCAAACATGACTGTGTTTGGCTGTGGCCTTTGTTGTTGCTCTTTGCCATGTCCTTTCCCTTTATAAGTGGGCTTTTTGTTGACTGGGATTTAAATCTCTCAGCAGAGATGGGCCCTGGTGGACCTGGACAGATTCCTAGCGGCCCGCGGACATCTTCGCCAAACTTAACGGATGGTGGAACTGTAAGTCTGCCCACCAATCTGCTTTCTTTGAGATGTGAAAGATTCTCACATAAGTGAATTTCTTGTTGGGCACACCTGCCTTACCTCAGCAAAGGTGCACTGACGCTGATTGATGAATGCTGATTGAGCAAGTGATATCTGGAATGAAGACTTGGTAATGATGAAAGGCTGAGTAAATTTAGGTTTCTATTCCTCAGCAATGAGATTGAAGAATGATTTGATCAACATTGTTAAATCTAATAAATTGAAGGAATTAATAAACTAAATAGGGAATTCCTCATTCCCTGGAGTCCTGTAGTTCAGTGGTTAGAGCACTCGCTTTTCAAGTGAGAGAGACCCGAGTTCAATTCCAGGCAGAGGGCGAAACCTTGGGCAAGTTTCCTTACTCCACACGCCTAATAATAATCCCTCCAAAAAACAAAATAATAATAAAAAATTGGTAATTTTCAATCTACGACTGTTTGTGGGACATTGCTGTGCGCAAACGGCTGCCACGTTCGCCCACAAATATACAGTCAATTCACTTTAGTGTGTTCTGTGAAGCGCTTTGGGACGTCCTCCCGACGTGAAAAGCGCTATATCAAATGCAAGGATTATTATTATGAGGAGGATCCAGAACAATAGGCGATCGATCATCTTAAAATTGGAATCTGGTTAAACGTGTGTTTAGATAACTTGTTTCTAAAGAAGGTTTTGAGAATGTGATACACACTGTGCAGAAGATGCAGATTTGTTTGAGGTGTTTAAAGGGATAATAGACAGATGCTTGAGCATTGAGGGATTTGGAGAAAGTCAGACTAGAAGGTAGAACTGCAAGAAATGAATAAAATGGCAGTGGGCTTGAAGAGCTGAATAATCTCCTGACATTAGTCTCCAGCCAAAAGCGCAGGGCTCTTTGTCTCAGGAATGTTATTGAGTCCTCCATGTAACTCACACATCAGGATGTCACTGAAATGTATAGCTTTCCTTGTACCGGCTTAATTTGCAGCATCAGGACTAACTCCAGCTGGTAGAGAACTCTTTGAAGGTCAAGCATTAGCTATTACTTGTCAGCTACTGTCAGCTATTATGAACAATATTTACCATTGAACCTAATTTAAATGAGCATTCCCATTTACTTGGCTACAGAGCTTTGAGGTAGTGTCTGCAGTTAAATGGCTCTCTAATTCTGTCTTATTTATATATATCACACTTTCCTGTTTTAATTTCTTCACTTTCTCTAAAGCAAAACCTTGTTGCTAAGCCTGAGGTGCCTGTCCCCTGTTCCTCTAGCCTGTCCCCTTCTGTGGAATCAGAGGCAGTAAGTACCAGTGGTAGTGGATTGGGCCTGTGTATGTTTTAACAATAACTAATTGGATTTATATAGCATCAGGAGGACATCCCAAGGTGCTGGAAAATCAGGGGTTTGCACCTCATTTTTAAAAAAATTATAAAAACTACTGCTTTTACACCCGAACACTGAAGCTGGTGTTAATATAGCTGATCTGGAACATTCACATTTCAATTTCATTCCAATCCTGTGTAAGCAGCAAATGACCCTGTTTCTTGTGGCTTCTTTTGGATTCTCTTACACCATGTGCATCTGGAGTATTAATACACCTTGCATTTGATGTAGAGCCTTATCACATCTAAACACTTTAAAGTGCTTCAGAATTTAATGTCCCTCAATCATTAAGTGAATGATTATATTTTATATATAAATTCTCCCAATTGGCATATGCCTTTGTTCCTGGGCTCCAGCCTACTCATGGGTTGAAGTGCCACAGGTGAATGTTGTCCTCCAATATCACATCCCAGTATTCCCTTGGCAATTATACATGTGCAAGCCAACACAGCTAAGTGCTGGCACCTTTCTGGACAGTAGAGGGCAGCTGAGCCTGGTGTTTCTATACTCGGCTGACAATTTTAAAAATCTGGTACATTGTTCAGGAAATGAGAAGCTCTCTTTACTGTCCACCTGAACTGGCAGATGGGATCTTGGTCTAATGTCTCACTGTATTGCAGTATTAGTCCAGACTCAAATGTGGCACTTGAACCCATAACCAGGGCCAATAGAAAATTGCAGGGTATGATTGGTTCATATTACTGCCAACCTGTATATTTTCATGTTATTGATGAAAACTAAATATGAGGAAATAAGACATATTAGAGCTTTGCAAAAAAAAATCTTTTTTAACAAAAACTGGGTGGCCCATTTAAGGTGGTCACCAGTGCAGGCCTGGAGAACCACCAAAAAACAGGCACCAAGGACTAATAACCCCTGCACCCTCAAATGGCACACTTTTTAAACACAAACATGCAAAGGGGTTTTATTTTAGAATCTAAGCTTGATGTGGATTTTAGTTCTCACATTAGTTGAATTTCACAACAGCTGTGACGATGCTTGTTCCTGCAAATGTATGTTGTGAGATTGGCACAGAATCCTGCAAGGTCTTGCCACCCAGACTGCATGCTCTGGGATCTTGTACAGTTTTTAAAAAATGATAATTAGGTGAATGTAAGTTGACATTTTTCCTCCCTTTACCAAAACCACAGATGAATCCAAACTCGCTGTCATTTCCGAGCCCCCCGATGATCAGAGCAGGACTTTTGCCAGGTCCCCGGCACAGAGGTGCTCCACCACCACGCGGCCCCTATGGACCAGGTCCACTCCCACCAAACCACATGGGTAGGTTCAGCCTTTTCATGATTGAACATCTCTCTCTGAACCAACAATGATTCACTTTATTCTTGGAGATATCTTGTTCACTGGCTCCTTTCTTTCATATTCTCTACACAGCATAGTGCTAATCCTCAGGTGTATGGCATATTAGTCTTTACAGAATGAAGACCTTATTGATTTCACACAATTATTTTTGTTTTACAGTTGGTCCAATAATTCCAAGAGACTACCCTCCTGGCCCATTTCCACCACCGCCAGGCTCTGGTCATTTTGCTCCTGGTCCCCCTCTGCCCCCACACACTCTGAGAGACTTCCCACCACCACACCTGCTGAGAGACTTCCCTCCGCTGGGGCTGAGAGGATTCCCGCCTGGACCCCGCAGTGTGCCACCAGGACCCACCCCGCCACCAGGAGTTAACAGAGACTTCCCGCCAGGCCCTGATGTCCGTCGATGATTGACACCTCCCCCTAAGCCTCAAAACAGATTTACAACACATGTGAAAAGACATGTTAATGAATCTTTGCCATGAAATTAAAAAAAGATTGCCAATTCCAGTCCAAAAATGTAATTACTTATAGGAAATGTCACTGTCTGTGTGGTCCTTGTGTGACAGAGGGTCAGGCATACAGTCACTGATGCAGGATATTTTTTAAAAAATGAAAACCTTCAGAGTATAGGATGCTGTAACTTCTGATTTAGAAATGAAAGTGCTTCCAGGAGGACATTTTCAAATAATTAAGTATACAATGTGTGAAAAAAGTAACTAGTCTGCAAATCAAAAGCAGTTTTAATTGTGCAATATTGAAGGTACCTGTGTTTAGTGTAGTGTAAAAATCCCCTGCTCATGTGACATGTTTTGAGGCCTTTTTTAAAAAAAAATGGTTGCAAAAAATAAAATTAATGACTTTTCCTGTGGAAATAGACTAATCAGAGCTGCCCTCACTACCTGCCACAATGCTGGCAATATCCACACCTTCCAGTAATTCACATGTAAAGAAAATCTGTATAAACATTTCAACAAACCCTCTCATCACATCTGTCTAATTTTCTGTGTAGGAAACACTTGAAATCCCTGTACAATTAAGGCCAGATGTAACTTATTTTATTATATATTCTGAGAAAATTTATTAATAAAGGAGGTTCAAATGACTTGTGAATGAGCAGTTTTCTCTTTCGTGCACTGTTCCAAGATCTTCCACAGAGTATTTGGGATTCAATAAAACTGGCACTGGAATGAGAGACCCCCACTTCTGGTTTACATTAAAATCTTTAAAATTGTAAATTGTACAAATGTTAATCATGATGAACGGGTTGTCTGAATAATTATCTGTACAAATGCAAAAACAGTGCTACATGCTGGTGTAGTGCAACAATTGTCCTCGCGGGTACATCAAACACAAAGCTAGCTAAGCATGGCTTCTATTTCAAATGTAGTGTTTTTAAGAGAAGTACCACAACATAAGACTCACCACTCAAACCTGTACATAAAAACATAGCTGCCACAGCTAAGTTCCTTAATTTGCATACTGCCATTCAACTTAACTGCATAGTGTAACAGAAAGCCAATGTCACAACAAACTGGCAACTCACACTTGAAGACACAAGCATTATTCATCCATGATATCAGCAGCATCTGTAGATTTTAGATTTGCTGTTCTTAAATAAGTTACTAAAAAGCTTTATTAGTTACCACAGATAGTGTAGCTAATGTTCCCTTATTTCATTTAGGTTCATTCCTCAGTGTCCTGTTTGAAACTAGACTCTTCCAGGATTAGCCACTAACCTAGAAAAGCCAATGTTAAAAAATAAATCTGCATCACAGCAGCTGGGACTTGAGATGGGAAACACTGAGCAACAAATGCTGCCCTTGTTGCCAGTTTTAGAGATGATCATGCACACTGCTACTGTGATGAGTTGTGCCGAGGATGAAATTAATAAAGGTTTATGTCATTCCTTGTGCAAGATCTGATGGAGGTGAAGGTACAGTGGTTTCTTGGTCAGCAACTGCAGTTTTTTCCTCTTGAAATCTGTTGGTTTCTTGTACCTGAACAGATGAAATCAGTGATAATAATCCTTGAATTTAATAATAATAATAATTTGATATAGCGCTTCACAGAATATACTGTAAAGTGGATTGACTAAGGGTGAAATGCAGCAGCCAATGACACACAGCAGTGTCCCATAAGTATAACAACAAATTATACTTGTATAGCGCCCTTCACATCAGAAAGACATCCCAGGATGCTGGACGATCAGGGGTTTGGGACCCGAGCTGGGAATTGGGTCAGGAGGGGTGGCTAAAAGCACGGTGGAAGAGGAAGGTCTTCAGACAGGACTTGAAGGAGGGAGTGAGGCAGAGGGATTGTGGGATAGAGTTCCAAAGTGTGGGGGCAGAGATACTGTATGCCCAACTGCCAATGGTGGGGCAGGAAGTGCAGGGGACTTGGAGAAGGCCAGTGTCCACTGAGCAGAGGGAGCAGACAGGCTGATATGGAGTTAGAGAGGTCACAGGTAGGGGAGCAAGACCATGGGAGGGTTTTGAAGGTGAGCACCAATCTACTGCAAACACTTTTTAAACATGTTTATCCCTTAAGGGAGGGGTCCTTGCAAACATACAATGTGCAATCAGTTGGCCAAAACAATGAGCTATGTGACCAGAGCTGACAACTGCTGAGCCCGATCCTGTCCTCACAGGAAGACATCCACATATGGGGTGTATGAGAAATTGTGTACCCTGGCTGATTGTCCCTCTGAGCCAGGGATACTCTCCAGCTTTTATTTACTGCAAGAGAGATCACAGAAATAGGAAGGAGTAGGCCATTCAGCCTCTTGAGCCTGTTCCACCATTCTATAAAATCATGGCGTATCTGTACCTCAAGCCTACTCACCCTTTCCCCATATCCCTTAATACCTTGATCTAACAAACAGATCAGCTGATTCAGCTTTTCTCTAGTCTGCATGGCCTCATGGTTTTCTAACTGAACCAGTGAGAAGCAGTTCACAAGATGTCAAATGTTCAATTCCATCAAAATACTTCCATTGCACACTGCAATTTCCTTTCACTGGATAGAAACTCCCACATGGTTGGGAAGTAATAAAGGGTAAGACAGGCCAATTTATTTGAATTCTGCCTCCTTAATGTATTGTGAAGGAAGACTGGCAAAAGGGAATCTGGGACAGAATTGAAGGGAATTGCTGCACGGGTACTACTTACAGTTCTATAACTATCTGCCCAGCTTTGATCTCATCCATTTCCATGAAAGCAAAACACTTTGTGCTTGTAAACCTCTTCTTGGGTTTGTAATGCTTGAATTCAAAGAAAATAGCTGCCCCTGCAACAGAAAAGGGAAACAGGTCTCCTGGATTGTAACTAGATACTTTACAATTACTGGTCAGAAAGAAAGACCTTGCATTTTCATAACATCTCATCACAGGTGCTTCACAGTAATTACCAGCCTCCGTGGTGACTTTCTACAGGCAAACAGCAGCCATTTGTGCTCAGTCAGGTCCTGAAAACAGCCATAAAATGAATAACATACTTATTTTGAAGATTGCTGACAATGACACCTTCTTGTATCCAATAGTGGCAAAGGATCCTAACATTCCAAATAGGAAATACACAAGGAAGGGAAGCTTTCAGCACAAAATAATAATCCTTGCATTTGATACAGCACCTTACATTGTTGAGACATCTCAAAGCACTTCAGATTATAATATAAAGTGAATTGACTTTATATTTTGTGGGTGAAACACAGCAGCCAAATTGCGCACAGCAAACAATCGTGGATTGAGTGAACAATTTAACTTTTTTTCTAAGGGATTCTGCCCCCTAGAAAGTGATCCGACAATCGACTAACAGCCAAGTTCTTAGGTAAACAGAGGCGTGTGGAGTAAGGAAACTTACCCTGCCCAGAAATCAAACCCAGGTCCTCTCACTTGCGAGGCAAGTGCTCCAACCACTACACTACAGGATTCCACAGTCTGAAATGACACCCAAATGCAACAACAACAAAATTACATTTATAGAGCGCCTTTCACTTCGGAAGGACGTCCCAAAGCGCTGAACAGTCAGGTGTCGGGGCCCGAGCATGGGGGAGGGGGGGTGGTGTAGGGGTGAGGGAAGGCAGAGAGGTGGGAGGGAGACCAAAGGCACGTCGAAGAGAAAGGTCTTGCGACCGACATTGAAGGAGGCAAGGGAGGAAGCGAGGTGAGGGGACCGTGGGATGGAGTTCCAGAGTGTGGGGGCAGAGAGGCTGAAAGCCCGGCCACCGATGGTATGGCAGGTCAGGCAGGAGACATGGAGCAGGGCAGAGCCCGATGAACGGAGTGAGCGGGCAGGTTGGTAGAGAGTCAGCAGGTCAGAGAGGTAGGAGGGGGCAAGGTCATGGATGGCCTTAAAGGTGAGGACGAGGATCTTAAACTTGATCCTCTGGGAGATGGGGAGCCAGTGGAGTTGGGCGAGGTTGGGAGTGATGGGGTCACGGAGGCTGTTGCGTGAGAGTACACAAGCTGCAGAGTTTTGGATGATCTGCAGCTTGTGAAGGGAAGAGTTGGGAAGGCTGATGAGGAGGGAGTTCCCGGAATCAAGCCTTGAGGTGACAAATGCGTGGGTGAGGGTTTCAGCAGCCTGAGGGGTGAGGCAGTGGCGGAGTCTGGCAATGTTACAGAGGTGGTGGTAGGCAGTGCCAGTCATGGCACGGATGTGGGGGAGAAACGACAGTTCAGGGTCAAACAAGATATCCAGGTTCCTGACTGGCTTAGTGAGGTTGAGTGTGCAGCCGTGAAGGCTGATGCTGCCAACGCCTGAGTTTCAACTTGGTTTCACTGAAATGTACAAATCCCCAAACCTCTCTCAACAGTCTGGGTGTGTCAGCCTAACTCACTTGGTACCACTCTCTTCTGAGTCAGAAGGATATGGATTGAAGCCCCATGTCAGAACCTAAGAGTCTTTTAGACTGAGTTCCAAGGTTTCACTCCAATCAGTGCTGGGGGAAGAGCTGCACTGTTAACATTGCTGTGCACAAGTTGGCTGCCACATGTGCCCACCAAACAGCCACTGCACTTTACACAAAATCCTGTGAAGCACTGTGAGACATCTAATGTAAATACAGTAAATACCAGAACACACACAATATTGTATTATTCAGAGTGTACAGTGTAAAAATGCACTTCAAGGTGGCTCAATTGAAAGTATTCTCACCTCTGGGTCAGATTCAAGCCCCACATTGGAATTTTGAGTTCAAAATCCACAGGACATGGGGGAAGGAGCACTGCATCCTCAGAAATAGCATCCTTCACATTAAACTTTGAAACCGAAGCCTTAATCTGTCTACGATCAGTGATACTATTGGAAACTAGAAAGGAATTCCTCCTGGTGTCCTGGACAACATTCTTCCAAGTAAATTAATCACTTATTTCTTGCTGTTTTGGAAATTGGCCATCATTATTGCCAAACAAATCAGCCACTGTACTTGACTGCAATTGTCTGTAAGTACTTTGAAACATTAAAAATTATTGGCAGCACATCAGAAAGATCACAAGAGAGGCTTGGATGAAGAAAGCCTTTCAACTATTTGATCACATCCCTCCACAATGACCATTCTACTGTCCTTAATATCACTGCATCAAGCAGTTTCTTAAATGGGTCCAGCATCCTCAACACAAGGATTATGAACACGGCCAATATAGTTCGACCTGGATTATAGGACATAAAAATAAACTTGGCAACGAAGCAGGAATTGGAAGGAGACCTACCTTTTGGCAGACGTTCAATGTGCTTTTGGATTTCCACATCCACAGCAAAGTGTACGTACATGTCTTCCTTCCGTGTCGCAACGGGCGTGTCCTGTACAGGAGTCATGTCCACACCATTGATATCTACATAATAACAGATGAAAGATTCATTACACTGAGAAGCAGCATCAAAAACAAGGAAAGGAGATGGATTTGACCAGTTCCCTCAGCTCTTACCCTTCACGCTGACAGTTACATAGGGATCAATGCACTGGCCTGCATCTTTCAACCCAATCTTTTCTATCTTTATGGTCAACAATGTCATGCCGGGTTCTGATGGTAACCGTGGTAGCAGAGTACCTGAGGACACAAAGCCTGGTTAGTCCGGCAGCTTGGTATGAACAATGTGAGCCGACAGCAGTTACTGACTTCAATCATTGGTCAACCTGAAGGAGAGATGAATAGTGTGAGTGAATTTGAAATGGACTATTTGGCATCTACACTCATCATTCTGTAGACTACTGCATTTTGATTTACAAAATAGTGATGAATGAGAGAAGTGTGCCAATGAATAGTGTAAGTGAACTACAGTGACAATAAGCTGTACGTGGAATGATAGTGTGGATTCATAAACAATTCCTCACAATCACAGCTGCTCAATAGTTCAATCTGAGACCCGTGAGAATATTTTGGGGCCATTCTTCTCCATCCCACTCCCCACAGTTGCTGTTTACCAGCCAAATAAAAATATACCCCAATTTACAGGACCTTTCACATCAGGAGGAAATCACAAAGCACCTGAGGCGAGGAAGCTGAAGAGGGCAAGGAGGGGAAAAGTGACTGAATGCACAGTCAAATACAACACACTATTGGCTTAGGATTCTTACTCCATCTGATGGGCTGATCAAAACTGTGTGACTGAGAAATTATAATATTTCAATTATTAAACTGGATATGAAAGTAAAAGATTAGATTCGAGCAAGAGTCCCACCCCCACCACCCCCTTCACTCCCTGAACACAGTGAAGCAGCTAAAGAAGGGCAGTGTTACCTTCAACAGCTCCTGAAGTTAGATGGAACATGCAGGTCAGAAAGGGAGGAGTCCACATGATCAAACCATGCACATGAAAGACAGGATCACATGTTAACAGAAAGACCAGTTTACCATAGTCTTCAAGTCTACACTTTACAAGTTACCCAAAGGATAAGGGATGGTTGACACGGAGGAACCCAAGCAGGAAAAAACAGCCTCTAGGTGTCTAAGATGTGTCATGGTGTTTTGCATCAGTTGGCAACATAGAACAGGCTTGAGGGACTGAATGGCCTATTCCTGTTCCTGTCATTTGATGATGGTTGACTTTTGGTAGCCATGCATCAGGCAGATACTTCAGGCATCAGTATCTCCAGAGGAAAGGGGTTCGGAGAAGGAATGAGATGCCTGAAAATCCCTGTGGCCTTAAGATCACAATCTTAAATGTTACCATTATGCAATATTTTGGAAAATTCTTAAATTGTCTCAAATTGGAAGCTGCCATTTTGCAGGTTAAGATTATCCAATCAATGTCTGAACTGCAGGTGTGTGGCAATGGAGGTCAAGGGATGCAGATACAGACTTTTAAATGCAGAAGGGCAGAAAGAAAAGGCACCAAAAAGCCCAATAGGATTCTGAGTTTATAAACATAAGGAAGTGGTGTTATATTTATACAAGATGGTGATTAGATCAGTTGGGAATATTGAGCGCCATTTTGGCCTCCTCACTACAGAAGACAAAGACATCAGAGCCCTGGAAGGATTACAGCACATGCTCATATGGGGGAGACCAGGTTGTGGGGTTATAATTCAGAGGGGATGGGAAGCTGTTTTCATTAGAAAAAAAAGAAAGCTAAAGAGGGTTCAATAGTTTTTAAAAATCCTGGAAGCCAGATTACAAAGCCAGTGTGTGCAACACTTCAAACTCTTAAAAGAGAATTCATCTATTTTAATTTTGTTTTTAGCTACAAGTGCCGATCTCAGACCAGCTACACAAAGCATTGTCTCTGAACCCAACCTGGGACTCTGGTGGTGAAAAGATCAGACACCCCAGCGCCTGCTCCGCCGTCCTCCTCTTCCTCCTCAAATTCCAGATTCTCCTCTTCTCCAGGTGCCAGGATTTTCCTGCCGCACAATGAAAACAAATAAACTCCTGTCACAGTTCCCAACTTCAATGGGTTGCTTCCAACTTAAAGCCAGCCCAATCTTTAAGAGGAAAATTAATCTAAATACACAGAGCTTGCTGGGTGACATGCGCACTTCTGTTACACACTAGGCGTCTCAAAGCTAAAAACGAAGCACTGGTGATTAACTCAGAGTAGTCAGTACTTGATGTACAAGCCCTTCAGTAATTTTTACGCAGCGAGTTGTTACAATTTGGAGTACACTGCCTGAAAGGGTGGTGGATGCAGATTCACTAATAACTTTCAAAAGGGTATAATATACTTGAAAATAAATAAATTCCAAGACTGTGGGGAAAGAGCTGGGGAGTGGGATTAATTGGGCAGCTCTTTCAAAGAGGCGCTACAGGCACGACAGGCCGAATGACCTCCCTCTGTGCTGTAGGATTCTATGATACTATCAGTTGCTTTTGAGGCAGAGAGAGCAGCAACACGTTAAATCATCATCTAACGGACACTACTGTCAACATTGTGCTAGAGTGTACCTAGACACCGAGCTCAGTGTCCTATGAGGGGCTTGAACACAACCTTCTGACCCAGAGGCAAGAGGTCTACTGAGTGAGCCAGGCTGGTTTCAGTTTGATTGTTCAGTCTGCCTTAAATTAGCCATGGAGTCCTGTAATTTAGTGGTTAGAGCACTTGCCTCACAAGTGAGAGACCTGGGTTCGATTCCTGGTAGGGCAAAACAAGTTTCCTTACTCCACACACCTCTGTTTACCTAGCAGCAAGTAGGAACCTGGTTGTTAGTTGATTGGCGGATCGCTTTTCCGGGGGTAATAATTCCTTTAAAAAAATAATAATTTGGTCACTCAATCCATGACTGTTTGCAGGACACTGCTGCGCACAATTGGCTGCCGTCTTTCACCCACAAAATAGACTTTTTCAGTATATTCTGTGAAGCACTTTGAGACGTCTCGAAGTTGTGATAATTTGACTATATCAAAAGGATTATTATTATTACTACTTGCAAGTGGCCAGTGTAAAAGTAACTAGTGAGGCAGAACTATATTAAAGAAGCTCTTTGATTCAAAGTGCAGCAGGCAGGAAACATTCGCTCGAGTAAAGAAAGGCTGCTTAGTTCACCTCTGAGCTAATGACTTTAACAGTCTTCTTCACCTCCTAATTGTCCTGCAGATTCACCTTGCTCAAGCAGCAAATGTGACCAACAGGCTTTGATCATGGAGATGGCAGCACAGCATTAAAGGACACCCACCCACACATTCGCCCTTTGCAGCAGGATAAGAAGTCAGAGCAAGAGCCCTGTCTGATACACCCCATCTCCCTCCTCCCTAATGCTCTGTAGTACTTGAATCTCATCCAGCTAATTTTAACCATCTCTTCACACAGGAACATGCCACTGCACTCCATTTGAACACTCCCATTTTCAAAAATAGTAGCTTACCCTAACCCTCAAATGTTTTACAGACATTTCTTTGCACAGAGTGTGGGTGAAATCTGCAATTCTCAGCCACAAACTGCGAGGCAGAGTCCATACTTTCACTTAATAGATACTTGAAGAGGAGGAAAATTAAATGGTTTATAAAGTGAGCAGGAGAGCAAGATTATTCTGGTGGCTGATATACCCATCAGGACTTTGAGCTCATAATCTAGGCTGACACTTCCACTACAGAATACTGCAAAGGCAGAGGTGCTGTCCTTCAGATGAGATGCAAAACCAAGACCCATCAAGTTAATGATCCCTTGGCACTATTAAAAACAAGAAAGGAGTTTGTAATAATAATCCTTGCATTTGATAGCGCTTTTCACTTAGAGACGTCTCAAAGCACTTCACAGAATACACTCTAAAGTGAATTGACTACATTTTGTGGGTGAAACGCAGCAGCCAATCACGCACAGCAGTGTCCTACAAACAGTCGTTGATTGAGTGACCAAATTAATTTTTTTGAGGCATCAGGTGTGTGGAGTAAGGAAACTTGCCCAAGGTTTCGCCCTGCTGGGAATTGAATCCAGGTCTCTCGTTTGTGAGGCAAGGGCTCTAACCACCGAGCTACAGGACTCCTGGGATTCTCCCAGTTTCTTGGCCAACAAACCCAGATAAAAGTTTGCAAGGCTGTTAGTGGAACATCACTGAGGCCAACTGGCTGCCATGTTCACTTACAAATACACAGAAATGATGCTTTTCTGCAATTATGTATGAAGTGCTTATTTTGACATTATAAATGTCTATATCGAATTCAAGGATTATTTTATTATGTGAAAAACAAGACTGGGGTTAGCTGAGTTGATGGGCTGAAATGGCCAGTTCCTGTGATGGAAGATTTTGCAATCAAATCAACAACCTGATGCCAGAACCTCACCCATAATTTAGAGGCTGTCATAGGAAGGACTGAGCTCCGAGAAACAGCTGCACCGTCAGCCCTCTGTTGGCTGGGATCGGTACTGCAGCACTTCCAATCTGAGAGGAGTGTGATCTGCCCTCAAATACTGAATACAAAGCTGACTTGAGCATGGTTTCCACAAGATCCCCTCTGACTCTTCTATATTCTAGAGAATATAGGCCCAAATTGGTCAGCCTATCCTCGTAACTCATCCCCTTCATCCATGGTACTAACCCAGTAAATCTACGCTGCACCCCCTCCAAGGCAAGTACATCCTTCCTTAAATAGGGAGACCAAAACTGCACACAGTATTCCACGTGTGGTCTCACCAGGGCCTATACAGTTGCAGCAAGACTTCCCTACTCTTATACTCTAAACCTTTCATAATGAATGCTAACATACCGTTCGCCTTCCTAATTGTTTGCTGCACCTGCAGACTAACTTTCTGTGATTGGTGTACAAGGACACCCAAGTCCCTCTGGACGCTAACACATTCCAATCTCTCCCCTTCTAAAAAATAACTCGCTCTACTGTTTTTGCTACCTAGGTGGATGACTTTGCACTTCCCTACATCATACTTCATTTGCTACCTACCTGCCCAATCACCTAACCTATCGATGTCTCGCTGCTTTTTTTTTAATGTCATCTTCTGTGTTGACACTTCCTCCTAGTTTTGTCATCCGCAAATTTAGATATATTAATTTCAGGAGACCATTTGATGATTATTGCATACAGAGGTGAATGGAGGCATTGCTATCATGGCTTCATGATAGGTCCCGGCTTGACTACACCAACTGCCTGCTCACTGAACCTCCCAACCCTTCCTTTCACAAGCTGCAGATTATTCAGAACTCTGCAGCTCGTGTCCTCTCCCGCACCAGGCTCCAGGAACCTAACACGCCCATTCTTGCCTGGCTTCACTGGCTCTCCATTTCTCAGAGAATCGAGTACAAAACCCTTGTTCTTACCTTCAAGGCCCTCCACGGTCTTGCACCCCCCACCTCTCCGACTTCGTAATCCCATTTCAACCTGTTCGCTCGCTCCACTCGGCGGACACCAGCCTGCTTTCGGTCCCCCACACTTCCCGCCCCACCACTGGCAGTCAGGCCTTTAGCATCTCTGCCTCCACACTCTGGAATTCTATTCCACAATCCCTCCACCTCACCCTTCTATTGCCTCCTTGAAGTCCTGTCTGAATACCTTCCTCTTCAATAGTGCCTTTGGCCACCCTCCCACCCCCACCCCTTCTGACCCTAACTAGGGTCCAAAACCCAATTGTCCAGCAAGCTGGCGATGTCGTTTCGACGTGAAGGGTGCTATACAAGTGTAATTCGTTGTTGTTGTCCTTCAAGAGCTATACAAGTGTAATTCGTTGTTGTTGTCCTTCAAGAGATCCACATCCTGACTCAAATTCTTCTACATCAACCCCTCTGCAATCTCCTCTCACCCACAAACACAGGTCTACTGTAAATCCCTATCATTAAAAGTTGAGCTGTTCCGCTCCTGTGCTCTGGAAATTGTTTCAAACTTCTTTGCTTTGCACCCTGACTTCATATAAACCGCGTAAAAAAATACTTGCATGAATGGTGCTTATATAAATCCTAGTTAGTGATATTTCAGTACATTATATGCACAAGCTCAGCTTCTCAGCTACTGAACTCCTTGCTGGAAGAAACCCAAGCTTAGTTTCACCGCACGCACAGTCTCACTCAGCCATGAAGCAATGACGTACAAATTGATTAGTATGAACTGTATGGAAAATCAAGTGCTCTCCTTGTAAGCGAAGGAAAAAAAGACATTAAAAAAATGTAAAGCAAGCCCGCAATGCACTGTATGTATGAGTAAGCATGGACATTCGGCAAGGCCCGTTGGAAGATAAGCATGCTGAAAGGAATAGTGAACTCGCGAGAAAGCGACCGGTTGTCGAGATGGATTGGTTTGTTTGAAAAGAAACAAAATCATTTTTAATGGATAAAAAGTGTCCAAATTAAATCATTTTACCTTAGAGGGATAGGCTGAACATCAAAAGGAAAATCTTTGTTATAAGAAAGAATGTTCTTTATAACTGTAAAGAAAAAGAGGGGGGGGAAAAAAAAACCAAAGTCCACTATTAAAAGCTAGCACGATAAAAGAGATACCAGGTGATCACTGGAATGCTGTCTTGCAAAGTGCTTTAATACAGGTAGTTCACCCCCAGACACAAGCAGATACTGGTGCTGTAAATATAGATATCGATAAATATAGTGCAGTGACTACAGCTGGGAGAGACACAGCCCACTCAGTAACATTCTCATGCTCCCACATGTAAAACAACAACAAGGATTTATATAGCGCCCGGCATCTCAGAACGCTTTACAGTCACAGATCCTGGGACCGTGCCAGGGGGAGGGGGAGGAAAGTGACCAAAGGCGTGGTCGAAAAGAAAGGTCTTTAGCAGAGACCTGAAAATGGGAAGGGAGAGAGCGAGACGAAGGGATTGAGGAAGGCAGTTCCAGAGCCTCGGAGCTTGACCAGGGTTTCAGCGGCTTTTGGGGAGAGGTATTGGCGGAGACCGGCGATGCGTCGGAGGTGGAAGAAGGTGGTGCTGGTGAGGGACCGGATGTGGGGGAGGAAGGATAATTGGGGGTCGAACCTGACGCCTAGGTTGCGTACAAGCTTTGCAAATTGGCCAAAGTTGAACAGAACCCTTTCACTGCTATTGCAGAAGTGTAACTGAACTTGCAAAGGGCATTGACCCAGCCCCACCTCTGGAGCACCGAGCAGAATTCAGGTTCCTGCGTAACAGTAAAAAGACATACTGACATTAAGAGGTACTGTAAAGGGGCAATGAGATTGATAGCTGGATTCATGCCCTGCGTTATGAGAGGTTGCAGAAGCTGGGAATATTCAGACCATACAAGATAAGATTCAGGGGAGATCTTATTGAGGTAATCAAGATCCTGAAAGGTGTAGATAACTGAACCCTATTAATACATTTAACAGTCAGAAACACAAATGAGACCCAAGTTGAAAAGCTGATTTGGATTGGATTTTGCAAAGCGTGGGCTTCTAAATCAAGACTACATGAAAGGATTTTTCAAAAATTTTTGTGATATTAAATTTTAAGGCAATGGTCATGAGACTAAGACCATGAAAGTTGATTTGGGGACTCAGACATTTATGCACTTCTGAAATACTGCTTTATTCACTTGTTTTATTAATCCAAGATTATGGTACTCTTAAGCACCTTTAACTTTAGTGATCAGCAGCAAACTCGGATTTTGGGAAGATTGGTTTCCAACACACTAGAAATACCCAATGCTCCAAGTACACACCACAGGTGGCACCACACAGGTAAGCACATTAACCATAGATAAACTTGAAGCATGGGGTCTGAAATAAAAGATTTTAAATGCAAGACCAATGCCTTAAAACTCAAACTTTTTATCCACAAAATACAACAAACTACAATTGTATAGTGTCTTTCATGTCAGGAGGCCACTTCACAATATATTCTGTGAAATGCTTTGAGATGTCCAAAACTTTGACTGCCCCGCACCTTGGGACATCCTCCCGACTTGAAAGCACTATACAAAAGTAATTTGTTATTAAAACTAAAGATTGTGTGGAGTTTTGAAAAATGAGTCTGTCTGGAAGCCGATTTTCTATTTTTTTTGATCCTGTAGAACCTAGCCTCCAAATTAACAAGTTTATGCAATTGTAAGGCAATGGTTTTAAGCCTATGAACATGGAGCTAGTCTAAGCTCTGTTTTGTCTTAATATCTAAGATTTACGGGGCAGAACTGTGGAACATTCTTACAATGCAGTCAATTTTCTGTGGTTCTAAAAAAAGTATCCAGTTTCCAAATTAAAATAGAATTTTTCAACAATTCTGCTCCACAGTGGTGGTGCAAGCTGGAATTTCAGACCTCGGATTTCTGGAGCAGTGAGAGAGCGAGAGAGAAAGAATCTCTTTGTCACATCGTTTACACAAGTGCTATTAGAAATACTTACTTGGTTCTAATTTCTTCAGATCTTCCAATCTGAACTCTTCCTGAGACTGAGTGGTCTGCATAAAATACATGAATTTTAAAAAAAAACCATTTAAAAACTGATGATAAATTAAACTGAGTGTTAATTATTTGTTATCATTGTGCATTTGCCTTGCCCTCTCTATGCCTCCTCCACTTAGGATGGGCAAGCAATTCACATTGGCAGACAGTTCCACGAGTGTTGACTACCCTTGGTCAAGTGGCAGTTCTTTATGTGTGAACTATCTTCCCAAATCCCTTCAACTCAAGCCATCCTATATAGTTTCATCCACAAAATATACAGTCAATTTACTTTATAATATATTCTGTGAAGCAATTTGAGATGTTCTCAACAACGTGATAATGCGCTATAACAAATGTAAGGATTATTATTACTCCTCTCTCCCTGGCCCTTACACTTCTTTGATTTTTTGATCAACTTCTTGATCCTTGTTCTCTCTTCCTCCTCCCTATCCCTGCAACCTTCTAAAAGAGGACGAACCTGCCCACTCCCTTTGTTCGGTGGGAACTGGCCTGCTCCTCCCCTCCCTATCCTATCCACCGCATCGTCGGCAGTCGGGCCTTCAGCCTTTCTCCCCCGCACTCTCTGGGGCTCCACTAGAATCCTTTCACCTAGCCCCCTCCTTTTTGTCTCCTGCAAGGTATCTCAAGACCTACCTCTTTGACTGTACCTTCCGTCACCCACCCACCCCCTTGATTCCAACCTCCAGCTCAGGTCCAAAGCTGCCACCTCTGGGATAATGAGCATAGCATTAACTTCTGAACGGGAGAACATTACCTGGTCTTACCTTTTTAGGACTAACATTGCAGAATAAGACATCAAGCTGTCAAGCGTTCTAAGATGCTACCCAGCGTGAGGGGCACTATATAAATGCAAGTTGTTGTTTTACGCAAACTCCCTGCTTGTTGGCCTCCCCACTCCCATAGGCTGCAGATCATCTAGAACTCTGCAGCCTGAGTCCTCTCCCGCACCAGGCTCCACAACCCTATCACCCTATCCTCACCCGACTCCACTGGTTTCCCATCACACAGGATACAGTTCAAGATTCTGGCCCTCACTTTCAAAGCCCTCCATGGCCTTGCCCCCCCTACTTCTGTAATCTCCTAACCCCCTACCAACCTGCCCAATCCCTCCACTAAGCGGGCTAGGGGTGGGAGAATGACATTGATCCTCTGAACGTCTAAATACAATTATCATCATTCAACACGTTTCAGTTGTTGGTCAGTGCACTGTAGAAAAAAATACACGGGGGTAACAATTCTTTGTGGACACTTGGTATTTTCATTCATCCTCCCAGAGGTTTGGACTGTTACAGAGCAAGGTCATTACCCACAAAGAGCAACACAGAAAAAAGCATGTGTATCCAGTAGTACCTGAAGAGCTGTGCTTCGCAATTCCAGGCAGGTCGCTATTTTGCCAACTGTTTTCTGTCAAGAGGAAATTAAATTGTTAAATCATTCAGTAGTTCTGAAAAGAAAATTCAGGCTTTTTCTGGAGCACACCTGGTTCCCGGGACACAGGTCACCTGAAGAGCAAAATGCTTTTTTTTAAACCAGCAAGACTTTTGAAATGAGTAAATACATATGAAGAAACAGAATGAAAAAATGTCTTAAGTCAAAATATCCAAAAGTGCTTCACAATAATAATTATTAATAGTCCCACTTAATTTAGCACCTTTCACCTTGTGAGGATGCCTGAAAGAGCTTCACAGGATTTTACTAAAGTCTGTAATATAGCGACTTTTTTTATTGTCAAACAAGGTAGTCCTTTGGCAGCCAAGGACTGTTGCCCAGAGACCGGACAAAAATCCCTACTCTTGGAAAAATGTGTTGCGATCCATCGTGTACACTTGATTAGGCGTAAGCAGGTAAACAGCCCTCCAGAGAGAGTGCGAATCCATTTCAATACCTGAACTGAGGAGAAGAAGCCCTGGCTGATTTTCCCCTTCCATTTCTAACCTGGAGGCACTGAGACAAATTGTATGTAGGCCCCAGTGGTAACTAATGATCTAACTCATTTGGATCAAAATTTGAACCTGGGACCAGCTTTATGTTGGCCTATTACGATGCCTTTAGTATTAAAAAGTTTCAAGTTAATGGATAGTTTTTTTTAAAAAAAGTATTCTTTCTTGAAAGTAATAAATTAAAGTGAAAAGGAAACATGTACATTTAAAACAGCACATTAGCATTTAAAAAACACAATGAAGTGAGGGAAGTGAAGGAGATGCCACGTGACACCATACATTAATGCTCAAACAATCCCTGCTCTCCGCTCTATTGCCCTATAATAAAACTGCAAGGTTTATTGACAGCAGTCCCATACCAATAGTGGGGAATTAAGCAAATGTTTTAGGGACACCACTCGGAGGGATCCAGGAACCCATATAATCATTTCAATATTACTGGCCTGGTCCCAGGAACCTCAGGAGGCTTGCACACTGAGCAGGACCATGTCTCAACAAACCGCTCCCACTGCTAAGGTAATAATGTTGTACCAAGCCCTTACAAATCACCAAGACTGAGAAAAACACAGCAGCTCATTTTACTGCTAAAACAAAATATTGCAGGGTCTGAGCTTGATACCAATATAATTTTATACAGTTTAATGTAACCTTTCATTTACTTAAGTGCATGTTATTTCACCAGTAAATGGTAAGTTTCTAGAGCCACTCCACCGGGGGGTGGGGTAGGAGAGAGGGGAGCCTCCCAACTCCCTTCCTTCGCCTCACGCCCTCTCGTCCCACTTTCAGGTCTCGGCTGAAGACCTTTCTTTTTAACCGCTGGCTCGGCCAAAGGATCCGTTACTATGAAACGCTCGGAGACGACGTCCAGAGTGGAGGGTGCTATATAAATCCACGTTGTTGCTGAGTAAATGAAAACTGGTTGAAATCGTAGCTGCAAAGGATAGCTCTACTAGCACTTGGTGGATCAAATAAAAACACTGCAGAAAAATAGTAGTGTCCTTCAAACAGGGCCATCCTCCTGATGTGAAAATGCACTATATGAATAATATTTTTGTTGTTGCCAGCAAAAAGAATCACGTCAGGGTGGTGGGGTGCCGACACACCACAATTTAAAACTGCACCATATGTACACTGTCTCAAAGCTTTGCAATTATATTCATGATCCAGTCATGTTCCTGCAGCAACATTGCTGGACATTCCAGTTGCAGTCTAGTGATCATTTCAAACACTGCACATTTGCAATTAATTGTGCAATCCTGTAGCGTATTGGTTAGAGCGCTCGCCTCGCAACCAAGGATTCAAATTCAATTCCCGGGTGGACAGGGTTCTTTACTCCACATGCTTTGTGTTTACCTAGCAGTAAATAGGAACCTGGTTGTTAGTCGATTGGTGGATCGCTTTTCTGGGGAGTGATAATCCCTTAAAAAAACACGATCGCTCAATCCATGACGGTTTGTGAGATACCGCTATGTTTAATTGCAGATTTACATTGGGTTTTTATCTCCACAAGAGCAGTCTAGTCTAATCCCAACCTCCTGCTTCATTCACTTAACCTTTAATAGCCCTTTTCAAGCATCTTCATCCCTTTTAGAAGAATATTGATGACAAGTTATCTTGGTTAAAGATGGAAGATCACACCCACAGTATTAATCTATCTTCTCATTCAAATACTGATTGCTGTTCGTGTCCAACATTTTGTGTGTGCTCCCCAATATTTCCAGTGTTCCCTTTTTCCCCCCAACAATCCACCCCTCTGTCTCCATCACATTGTAATAATCCAATTGCTAAACCCTTCACCTCCCTGGTTCTTTTGTCACTGGAGGCAATTACAAAGATGCTATTAATCAATCACAACAGTATAAAGTCAAGATTAATGTTCCATGTAGATTTATATTAAATAATTTATCAATTTTTACAGAACTCATTTTATTGCGCTCGCTTCTAAGAAATGTGGCATTATGAATGGCACTCAAGGGAAGTTTAACCAATTCATTTGTATTCCATACTATAAATAGACACAATGACAGCACATAGTTAAGTATGGATTTATAATCGACTTTTAAGGATAATCTACACAATTGTCAACCTTGTGAATTATAAGGTACTGAAATACAAATCATTCTGCTGCATCTCATCACCTCTTGCTATGCCTGCCAGGCTAGAGAGAGGCTACATGATGGGTTAGAGAAAAATATGATTTGTGCTTAGATTGGTCCACTGCTCTCGACCCTACGACACTATGACAGTGTTAGATCTGATAAGTACTTGAAAAGGCAGCACATTCACACTCGACTGAAAACTGTCAACAAACTATGGTAAATGGGGTTTCATCCAAATCACGGTCTTCAGCAGGCCAGCAACAACAAATTACATTATACATCGCCTTTCATCTTGGGAGGACAGTCAGGAATTTGCACCCAAGCTGGCGATTGGAGTCAAGAAGGGTGGAGGGCAGGGATGCTGGAGGAAAAAAAGGGTGACTGAAGGAGCGATTGAACAGGAAGGTGGCCTTGAAGGAGGTAAGGAACAGAAATTACTCTATTTAGGAGTCTTGGGCAGCAATTCCAGAAAGCAGTGAAAGGACCTGAGCAATAAGGTAGCAAAAAGGAGAAATGGACCCAAGGAGTAAGGCAGTGCTTGAAAGTTTACATGGAGAAAAAAATTGGACAAGATTCCTCCATCATTTCATTGCATGCTGAAATCAAAATACATAGTAACATCTAAACCTGATTCATTCACTCTCAGCATTTGACTTTTTAATGCAAAGCTTGGCATCATGTAACCACGGATTCTTTATGTATCTGGTCTTCTCACCTACTCCAAGTTGGATGCTTTCTGCACTATGGACATGGCATTTCACTTTTTGTCCCTTAAGAAAAAAAAACTTCAACACTCAGGATACTTCACACATCTTCAGATACTGAAACAAATTCAGTGCAAAAGTTCCCATACTCATGATTTCAGGTGAAGCTCTAAAATAATACTCCTATCATTTGATACAGCACTTATTACGTCATTGAGATGTTTCAAAGCGCTTTACAGAAAATATCGTCTCTCAGACACTACCCTGCGTGGAGGGCGCTATTTAAGTGCAAGTTGTTGTTGGATTAACTATGTATTTTGTGGGCTATACAAATGTAACTTTTTGTTGTTGTTAAAACACGGCAGCCAATTGCGCACAGCAGGGTCCCACAAACAGTTGTGCATTGAGTGACCAATTTTTTGGGGAGGGAGAGATTATTACCAACGGATCTCAAGCGGAGAAAAGATCTTAATAATCCTTGCACTTCATATAGCACCTTATCACATTGTTGTGTTGTCTCAAAGCGCTTCACAGAATAGACTGTAAAGTGAATTAACTGCACATTTTGGTGAAACGTGGCAGCCAATTGCGCATGGGGATGTCCCACAAGCAGTCGTGGATTGTGTGACCAAATTAATTATTTTATTTATTTGGAAGGGATTATTTCCCTCGGAAAGTGATCTGCTGATCGACTAACAATCGGTTTCCTACTTACTAGCTAGGTAAACTGAGGGGTGTGGAGAAAGGAATCTTGCCTAATGTTTCACCTTGCCTGAGAATCAAACTCTGGTCCTTTCACTTGCGAGCTGAGTGCTCTAACCAATATGCTTTCAGGAATCCACATCTTGCCCATTTCAAGCAGAAATAGACAGCCCAGTTTGTCTGCCAATTTCTCGCAATATCCATTCAATGTGAATGTGTTAGCGTCCAGAGGGACTTGGGTGTCCTTGTACACCAATCACAGAAAGTTAGTCTGTAGGTGCAGCAGCAATTAGGAAGGCAAACGGTATGTTAGCATTCATTATGAAAGGTTTAGAGTATAAGAGTAGGGAAGTCTTGCTGCAACTGTATAGGGCCCTGGTGAGACCACACCTGGAATACTGTGTGCAGTTTTGGTCTCATTTAAGGAAGGATGTACTTGCCTTGGAAGGGGTGCAGCGTAGATTTACTAGGTTAGTACCAGGGATGAAGGGGATGAGTTACAAGGATAGGCTGACCAATTTGGACCTATATTCTCTAGAATACAGAAGAATTAGAGGGGATCTTATAGAAACCTATAAGATCATCAAAGGGCATGATAGAGTAGATAATGGGAGATTGTTTCCCCTGGTTGGAGAAACTAAAACCAGGGGTCACAACCTTAAAATCAGAGGCCAGCCCTTTCACACTGAGTTGAGGAAGAACTTCTTCACTCAAAGGGTGGTGAATGTATGGAACTCACTACCCCAAAGGGCTGTTGACACTCAGTCCTTAAACATATTTAAGACTGAGATAGATAGATTTTTTATTGCAAAAGGTATTAAGGAATATGGGGATAAGGAAGGGTTAGGTTATTAGCTGGAGTTATATTCGAAGATCAGCCATGATTGAATGGCGGGGCAGGCTCGAAGGGCTGAATAGCCTACTCCTGCTCCTACATGTTATGTTATGTCAATGTACATCTCTGAATTACATAATTCTGGAATCCTAAAATGAGGAAAGACTTTTCACTCCATCAGGCCTGTTGCTGCAATGTAATAATCAGGGCAGATTTTATAATCCCATTTGGCTTTTCTCCCGGTGCCTATCGCCCTTTTAAACACCCTAAGTTTACCACTCTATTTGTATGGCCTTCTGGGGCCGATGCAATTCACATTTTCATAACAAAAAACATAATGGGCATAACACATCATATGCAAGCAACATTTTCCTCTATCCCAAACATCAGATCCTTGGCCTGTGACTCCGTATTTCTCTGGCCTAGATGCTCAGTTTCCATTCACCTCATTTTTTCCTGAACTTCATACATAGTTGACATTGGCCTCATGCAGCAGTATTTCTGCTTTTTGCTTGCCCGGTGATCATTTATTAACTCTTTTCCTGTTTTCCATCTAATTTCAATTTTCCCTCATCTCTTGACCCTTTGTCATTTGTTTTGAAGGCAATGTGTCAAATAGGAAGTTTCTCCAAGAGTAATAAAGGATGATACTTGGAGTCCTGTAGCTCAGTGGTGAGAGCACTCGCCTTGCAAGCGAGACACCTGGGTTCAATTCTAGGCAGGACGAAACTTTGGGCAAATTTCCGTACTCCACACACCTAATAATAATCCCTCCAAAGCACAAAAAAAATTGGTCATTTTCAATTCACGACTGTTTGTGGGACACTGCTGTGCGCAACTGGATGCCGAGTTTCGCCCACAAATATACAATCAATTCACTTTACAGCATATTCTGTGAAGCGCTTTGAGACATCTAGAAGATGTGAAAAGCGCTGTATCAAATGCAAGGATTATTATTAACTTGAGTTTATTTAGAAAGCGCTGGACATATCATCAGGAAAACAGGATTTGGAGCAGTGACTGGGCCCAGCATTGAGAAGCTGGATAGACACCAGCAGACTTCACCTAAAGCCCAAAGCATTGGCTACTGCTATCTAAGCTCTGTGCATGCCACAATCTCAGAGCTCAGTTCATTTAGTTATTCCAGTGAATTATACAATACAAATTTACATTTATTTAGCACCTTTCACGTTGAGAACAATAACTTACACTTATATAGCACCCTCCACACAGGGTAGCGTCTCAGAGCGTTTGGACATTCCAAGGCTCTTGACAATGGCAAGCTGGTACCCAAGAGGGATTAGGAACTGAGGATGGTAGGAAGGGGAAAGGCGACTGAAGGCACGGTCAAAGAGGAAGGTCTTGAGACAGACCTTGAAGGAGGTGAGGGAGGTGATGAATTGAAGGGACTTTAGGATGGAGTTTGCCAAGTGGGATACATAGCCTGAAAGCACTTATATGCACTACACCTTTTTCAATATTTTAAAATAAAAAAAACAAGATTAGCCCACACTCTATGCATAAACTCAGGTCTCTAATATCCTCTGTGGCCTAGCTTCAACACTTTACCCTTGCTCTCCCTCACTAAATCCCTGAACCTTGCCTACCCATTTGGCTGTGCCTTTGGTTATCTTCCCCACTCTTTGGCACTTTAAGTGATTCGCTGAAAAATGTTCTATACTTAAAGGATGCTATACAACTGCAAATTAAGTCAAGGTTGAAGGTATATCAAGTATGGATGAGGGTTTCAATGGCAATCGGGATGAGGTAATGGTGTGAAAGGTTGCAGAGCTTGAAGAAAGTAGCCTTGATCAGATCCTAGATGAAAGAAAAAGTTTAAAGAAGAGTTGAAGAAAGAACTTGAAAACGGTACAAAATAGCAAGGTTCCCCACAGGGTCTGAGAGTTGGATTGAGCATCTAGGGAAGTTGTTATTGTCAGTGCCTGAGGTTAGGAGGCACTGGCGGGAGACAAGCAAGATAGTTTCAGCTTGACACTGAGCTGGAGAAGGCGGATTCTCATCCAAGACTTCATTGCTGACAGACAGTCTGTCTGAATAGCAATGGCTCCAGAGTTGAGCGTGGAGGCAGAAAGAGTTAAGTGCCACTTACGTACACATTGATTCATAAAAATAGTGGGAGTCCCTGAGCAAACAGGAAAGTAGCAAGTATTGAGGAAGTTGACCAAAAGGCAATAGCATGGAGATAAAAAAATTGAAAGCATTATAGCTGAAGGTGGGGGGAAGGGAGTGAGAAAAATTGCCACGATCTGGGAATGGTTACTTTGAATACCTTGAGGAACAGGGAAAAAAAAACAAGGAAAAAAAAACTGGGACGAAAATAGATACAACAGAATATGAATGTTTATACACATGGACAGAGGAATCAATCCAGCATAAGCTTGTTCCACCACCCCGCATCGCCAGAGTGACAGATGTATGTGGTAAGCCTGAATCAGGCACCAGTACCATGCACTGCCTGGGATCAGAACACGCAGCTGGAGTCAACTCATACCAGAAACAAAAGGACAGCCGGACAGAATACCACTTTGTCTTCCGTTTGGCTCTTCTGGCAGATTGCTGGCACAAGAATCCCAATAGTAATGATTCTGCCACAGCTCAGACTAGAAACAAAACACAAAAAGCAATAACCCAAAATTCAACTTAAATCTTTGCCCATTTTGTCTTCATAGTTAAGATGGTGCAGAATTGCAAAAATTTCTTAAAATTTAGACTTAATTTACATGTTAGTTTTCTGCAATATTTAAGAGAACCAGCCATCAAATTAAAATCAAATTTAAGTTTTTACAAATCTGGGCCATCTAAATTTTAAGGCAACCTTTCTTACAGACAAAAGCAAGGTGGAATTCCATAGTTAGGAAATAAAACATCACAGGACTGTTTCTGAAGTGATGAACTGCTTACCTTTTGATCTTCTGTGAGTTCAGTAGAGTTGTTTACTGACTGTACTTCCTTCTGTAAATGCCGGGCTAGTCTGTGTAATGATAATAAATAATAAATCCTTGCATTTAATAGAACACCTTTTGCATCGGGAAAATGTCTCAAAGCATTTCACAGGATTTTACTGTAATTTGTCGGCAACACAACAGGGAATTTGTGAACAGCAATATCCCTCTAACATTGCCATGATGTGAATAACCAATTTTATTTGGAGAACTGTTAGCTAGGACACTTATCGAAAAATGCCATGAAATAGTGTCTACAGGACCTCCGTTTAATGTCTCATCTGATGGATAGCACATTGCACGACACAGCACTATTCAGTTCCACATTGGAACGCCTGCCTAGACTATGAGCTCAAACTCACAAATGGAGCTTCATACCATATCTTTCTGACTCAGAGGCAAGAACGCTTATCAACTGAACCAGACACCTAATAATGAACTATGGTACACAGGAATTTCACACCAACCCGTAGCTCTGTCTGTCCAGTGCCTTGGGACGTCCTCCTGACGTGAAAGACACTATACAAATGTAATTTTGTTGTTGTTGCTCAGTCATTGGGGTACCTATTTTGTTTCGCAAGGTGACTAAAATCCCATTAAAATGCACTGGAAGTTCTGAATAACAAATTTTCCTTCCAAGTGACCACCTCAGGATCCATACGCATCGCTTAAGGGACAAGAAGACATTGGCCGCTTCAGTCCAATGGGATCACTTCCTGTGAAAGGAATTGCACACCCATTTCCTGTTTTGAGAAAAAACATCTCAGAGACCAGTGAAAGCACAGATTTATAAAGATGTTTTATTCCACATCATACAATCAAAAAAAAACTTCCTCTGTTTAACAAGAGGTTCAGACCGAACACAGTGTAATACTCAGCGTGTCCTCAGAGTGAAAGCTCTGTCTTGTGGTTTCCCTCATGCATGTTGTGTGAGACCGCATTAATGGATATCTTTATGCAGATCCACCAGTCATTTTATGCACAGCAAAGTCCCACAAACAATGATGAAGTGAATGATCAATTCATCTGGAGGATTTGTCAAATCGGAGAAATTCCCTTTTTTCAAATAGTCTCACAGGATCTTTAATACCCACCTTAACTCACGTCAACATTTCATCTGGAGAACAGCACAGGGACTGCACCACAGCGTCATCCTACACCAATTCTGCTTGTTTGGGTGCCTTGGAGAATGTTTCTGATGTAGAGACATGTACTGCAAACTGAGCCAACAATTTCTCCACCCACCAATACCATAAGGAGTTCACTTTTCACCACTGACTATGGAATGCTAGGGAAGGGGGGCAAAGAAAAGCAGGAGAGGGAGCACAAAACAGATCAACCTGGTACCTAGCAACAGAAGGTGATGGAAAACCAACTAGTACATGCTTGTTATGTTCAATCAGATCTCCAGTTATGCCAAAAAAAATGGGTTAAAAAGTAGATGTGCATGCATTTGTGGAAGCAACATCTACAGATCACCTTATGCATTAAGGTTACCTTGTAGGTTTAAAAAAAACACAAAATAAATAATAACGATTACATTTGATACAGCACTAAACCACAGCGTTGAGACGTCTCAAAGAGCTATACCTCTCAGAAGTGGAGTGACTGCATTTTGTGGGCAAAGTAAAATACTGTACTTTTAAGGAAGAAATTAAATTTTTTCCCCCCCATTGGTCTGCCAGACACACACAAAACAAACTTACAAAAAGACGTCTCGCCCATAAAATACACATCAATGCACTTCACAGTATATTCTACGAAGCACTTTTGAGACATCTGAAAGGCACCATATCAAACGCAAGGATTATGAATGCAGGAGTCATAATTTTTTGGGCCAACACAATAACACGAGAAAAAGACAGGGACAACCCCCCCGTCCACCACCCAAAAAAACACACACACACACAGATGTAAAGTAAAATATTATGGTTCAAAACAGGACCCAAACACCAAACTCAACCCGTGCGGTCTCCACCCCATAACAAAAGAGGGCGTGGATGCAGAATGGACTAACATGGCTCTGGGTTGCTTTAAACTGCCCGTTTCACAGACTATTTACATACACACACACACATATATATATATATACACATAATATATAGAAATATAGATAGAAATATAGATAGATATATAGATAGATATATAGATAGATATATAGATAGATATAAATAAATATAGATATATACATATATATAAATATAGATATAGATATATAGAAAAATATAGATATATAGAAAATATAGATATATAGAAAAATATAGATATATAGAAAAATATAGATATATAGAAAATATAGATATATAGAAAAATATAGAAAGAAACATATATATATATAGAGAAATATATATATATAGAAATATATTTTTTAAACGGTTCTCATTTTAAACCAACAACTCGGCGGTGTCCAGAAGGGGGAAAAAAGTTTGGCTCTCAGTGTATTTTTCTCCCTCTCTCCCGAGCGCGCAAACGGGTCGGCGATACCGGTTTTTCGAGGGTTTTTGAAGAGCAAAACTCACATTTGATACTCGTCGATAGCCTCCACTAACTGTCCCCACGAATCGAAGTCTGTGCCCTTTTTGAAACTTGCGAGCCATCTCTGCACCGTTTTATGGATATCGCTCATTTTAATCCCTTTCTCTTAAATCATAAAAACAATTCTTTCGCATCGGGAGGAGGAGGAGGTGGTGGGGAGGGGGGGCGGAAAAGAGGTAAACATTTGGGGGTAGAGGGGCGGCTGCTTGAGAGGGTGGGAAACAGAAACTACCCGCTAACATAACATCATGGCTCCTTTCATAGCCGATACCCCGCCCTCCCTCCCTCCGGCCAGCACACACCACACCGCAGCGCCCTCCCCTCCTGACCAAGCCCATCTGGGGCTCTGAACGAGAGCGGACGGCGAGTACGCAACCTAATGTGCTGACCCGAACTCCCGCCTCCCGACACCACGACGTTTCCCCGTTCCCGTGCCGTATTGGGCACTCGTTCCGGCCCGGCCGCGCCCTACCCGAACGCGATTGGTCGACTGGCCCGTCTGTCAAGCAGTAAGATGTAAATCAGGTCGCTGTCCCACGGCCTTCTCCTCCTCACGGCTTCGACGCGCAAGTTTTCAAAGCTCGGTTGAGGGGTTGGGCGCGCGCGTGCGCGCACGCGGCGGTCGGGAGGGAGGGAGGGAGGGATGAGGTCACCGTCCGGAGCGAAGGCGTCTCGCGCATCGTCCGTTGCGGAGTTTTAAAGGGATCGGTCAGGAGGTCACGTGCCGTATGGTGCATTCCGACCGAAACGCTGGGGGTTGATAGCGAGCGGGGTGGGATGGTGTTGGGGGAGAAGAGAAAGGGTACAGCGAGGTTACACTTGTTTGCGCGAGGGGTTGACTTTATTTACTTTAAAACTTTTTTCCAGAAAACGCGCGTGTGTTTGTTTTGGAGGGAGATGGGTGGGGGGTGGTGGTTATTGTTAAATTAAAAATGAGACGACTAAAAGTCTCAGGCCGCGCGGGGCGGGGCTGCGGGGGGGGCGGGGACGTCGGGATTTGACGTCGTGCGCGTGTGACGCCAGAGCCCGTCTGACGTGCGAGCAAAACGTCAGTGCGCAGTGCCCGACGGCGCTGCGTTTTCCCGACGTGTATTTAGTGTTGTTTTTCGTGGGAGGGACGGGGACAGGACAGGACGGGACGGAGAGGCCGTTTCAAGCAATAAAGACGAGGGTTTTTTTTTTCTCTCTCTCTTTTGCTTTTCCCCTCGAGTTGTCAATCGTTTTTTTTGGGGGAAAAAAAAACCGAGCGATATCTAAAACGACCGACAATGACGCACTGGTTTCACCGGAACCCGCTGAAGGCGACGGCGCCGGTGACGTTCAGCCTCTACGGGGTCGCCACCAACAGCGCCTCGGCCAAGATCTGCAAGTAAGGCTCGAGTCAGGCCCGGCCCGGGCCAGGCCCCGCCCCGCCCCGGCCCGGCCCGGCCCTGGTTCCTTTACCCGCTCACACCTTAGGCTTTCTTTTAACGTTTATAAAAAATCGACCTTCGCCACCGTTGTCCTATTTCTCGGTGCGGCCTTTTTAGGCCCCAAAGGATATATATATATAGAGAGAGAGAGAGAGAGCTGTGATTTTAATAATAGTAATCATTCAAAATAATCCTTGAGTTCCACAGAGGGCCTTTCGCCTCGAGAGATCGTCTCAAAGCAATGTTTCACAGGATATGCTACAACTCTCTATAATAATCCCTGCATTTGATGTAGCGTTGGGACGTCTCAAAGCGCTGCACAGAATACAGGGTAAAGCGGATTGACTCATTTGTGGGCGAAACTCAGTCGTCAGTTGCGCACAGCGGCGCCCCACAAACAGTCGTAGATTGAGTGAACGCACTTTTGTTGAGGGACCGAAAACAATCCGGCAATCGACTGGCAACCAGGTAAACAGTAACTTACTGCAGGGTAAACATAGGCGTGTGGAGTGAGGAAACTTGCCTAAGGTTCTGCCCTGCCCGGGAATCAAACCCAGGTTCTCTCTCTTGCAAAGCAAGTACGCTAACCAGCAAACCACTATGCTGGACTCCATATACTGTAAAGTGGAGTCCTGTAGCTCAGTGGTTAGAGCACTCGCTTTGCATTTGAGACTCCTGGGTTCGATTCCCAGCAGGGCGAAACCTTGGGCAAGTTTCCTTACTCCACAAGCCTAATAATAATCCCTAAAAAAAATAAAGAATTGGTCATTTCAATCCACGACTGTTTGTGGGACACTGCTGAGCGCAATTGGCTGCCGTGTTTCGCTCACAAAAGTACAGTCAATTCACGCTTTGAGACGTCGAGAAGACGTGAAAAACGCTATATCAAATGGAAGTATTATTATAAAGTCAGGTGACTGTTGATTTTACGACAGCTTATTAAGTTTATCCATTGCCTTTAAACACTCTACAGGATAAACTGAATTTGATTGAAGAAGAATGTTATGTAGGCCTAAGAAGCATCTAATACTACTAAATAATCCTTAAATTTGGTGTATCACTTTTCACATCAGGAGGATGTCTCCAAGCATTTCACAGGAACTGCTGTAGTTATGTATTTTGTAGGTGAACATGACAGCCGAGTTGCACACAGCAATATCCCGCAAGCAGCTGTGAAGTGAGTGACCACATTTTTTTGGATTGCTGGCCAAGGTACCGAGAGAAACTCCCTTTCTTTTTGCAATAGCGTCATGGCATCTTTTAACACCATCTGAACAATAACTAACAACAAATTATATTTCAATAGCACCTTTCACGTCAGAAAGACGTCCCAAAGCGCAGAACAGGCAGAAGAGATCTTGAGAGGACACCTCCTCTGACAAGGCAATCCTTTACAAAGTCATTTTAACAAAAAAGTATTCATAGTTTCACAACTAAAATTCAAATAAATTGGTCCCAGCACTACATTGGAATGTCAACCTAGACCAGGGATGGCCAACTTGCAGACTATCCTATGCATGCGTAATGCGGTCTGTGAGCTGCAAGCTGGCCATCCCTGAGTTCATAGTCCCAAAGTAGGGCTTGAACCCCCAACCTCACGTCGAGAGGAAAAGCTTTAAAGCTGTTTAATCTCGGAGATGGTGTTGGTGTTCTGTGAGTTTCTCCAATGTAAGTTTGCGGCAGGACTCAGTGATTTCTTAAAGAAAGTTACATTAAAGCCAAAGCAGAAATCTGTTTTTAAATGCAACTTTAAAGTCAGTTTATAGAACCCCATTGGATGTGTGGGGTATTTTCTTGCAATATGAGGCCACTTCAATCCACGACTGTTTGTGGGACACTGCTGTGCGCAATTGGCTACCGTGTTTTGCCTACAAAATATAGTCAGTTCACTTTACAGTATATTCTGTGACGTGCTTTGCGACGTCTCGAAGACGTGATAAGGCGCTATATCAAATGCAAGGATTATTATTATTTGTGTCCTGATATTTTTCATTCTTTATTTATTTAATGTTATGATCCCTTCTGAGGGTTGTGACTCACACTTGGGCTATGATTGCACCACACCTGGTGCCATTTTTTAGTGAGTGATTCAAGAATCCTTCATTTGATTTTGCATCTATAGTGTCTGTAAGATTATATTTGTGATGTTTACTGTTTTTAAGAGATTCAATGAGTATACTTTTAGAATATAACCAAACACTTATTATAATAATAATAATAATCCTTGCATTTGATATAGCGCTTTTCACGTTGGGAGGACGTCCCAAAGCGCTTCACAGAACACACTGTAAAGTGAATTGACTGTCTTTGTAGTATAGCATTTCTTAGTTATTAGGGAATGAACAAGGTGTGTGTTTTTATTAACTAACTTAGGGCCCCTGAGAGGGTACGTGTGGCAAATAGTGTTAGCAAAGGTAAAGATATATTGGCCTGACCCCAGCTGAGTCAGATTTTGATAATTTTCCTTTGTTTGGTTCCCTGTCATCCTCCCATCTAAGAATTGAGTAATCATGTCCTTGAGCACAGATTTGAAAACAAGGGGATTCATCTCAACACTAAGAAACAGAAAGATGGCAGAATGCTCCCAATTAGCTCTTCCTCCTTATCAGTTACTTTCCCATGTGAAAAGAGCCTCCTCAAGATCGCTAGAAGCCTGCGAATGGTGGGAGCTATCTCTGTGTCAAGGGGGGACGGAGTTAGAAATACATTAAAAAAAGGTGTAACTTTGGAATAGTTGGAGTTGACGTAGAGGGTCAGTGCACTTACTTCCCAATGGAATCGATACTACTGTACCTATGTTCTCAGTTGTAAGAATAAGTTAAGCTATTTGTATTACTTAATAAACCTTAGATTATTACACAACCATATTATAATAATAATAATAATAATCCTTGCATTTGATATAGCGCTTTTCACGTCGGGAGGACGTCCCAAAGCGCTTCACAGAACACACTTTAAAGTGAATTGATTGTATATTTGTGGGCGAACACGGCAGCCAATTGCGCACAGCAATGTCCCACAAACAGTCGTAGATTGAAAATGACCAATTTATTATTGTTTTGGGTTTTGGAGGGATTATTATTAGGCGTGTGGAGTAAGGAAACTTGCCCAAGGTTTCGCCCTCTGCCTGGAATTGAACTCAGGTCTCTCACTTGCAAAGCGAGTGCTCTAACCACTGAGCTACAGGACTCCACGAATATTGCTTGTCTCCATCTGAATCTCTTACATGTCAGTGTATCAAAGCGTTTCACAGGGAATTGCTGTCAAATGTACTAAATTGTGGAGTCCTGTAGTGTATTGGTTAGAGCACTTGAATCGCAAGCGAGGGAACCCAGGTTCTCAGGCGGGGAGAAACCTTAGACAAGTTTCCTTACTCCACACACCTGTTTACCTAGCAGTAAGTAGGAAACCGGTTATTAGCCGATTGGCGGATCGCTTTCTGGAGATAACAATCCATCCTTCAAAAAATGTGGTCACTCAATCCATGACTGTTTGTGGAACACTGCTGTGCGCAGTTGGCTGTCGCGTTTTGCCCACAAGATGCATAGGCAATTCACTTTACAATATATTCTGAGAAGCGCCTTGAGACATGTCAGTAGAGAAGTGCACAGTGGAGAAATGAAAATTAAAGTTAGAATCCCAGAATGTTACAGCATAAAAATCGTTCATGGTAGTTTTCAAAACGGTATTTTTTTTCACACATACATCAAATTCCCTTTTGAAAGGGCTTTGCCTCAGCAGCAAAGAATTCCATTTTACAAACAATGTAAAGGCCTTCTTTTTCTAAACCGATGGAACAGGTTTGATGAGCTTTGTGACTTCCTCCTGGTTCCAATTAACCTCCTTTTAAGTTATTTTGGACATTGAAGTATCTGATACACATGGAAAACCGTCATCGTCTCCAAAGTGAAATACTCTGAATTCCACGTGCCCTTTGTATCTTCCATTATTATTTATAATTATAATGACCCTTGCATTTGATATAACAACAACAAATTACATTTGAGCCCCTTATCTTGTCATTGACATATCTCAAAGCGCTTCACAGAATACGTTGTAAAGTGGATTGCTTGTATATCTTTTGGGCGAAACACGGCAGCCAATTTCGCACTGCAATCTCCCACAAACAGTCGTGGATTGAAGGATTTTTTTNGGAGGGATTATTACCCCCAGAAAGCAATCCACCAATCGACTACCCATCAACTTACTGCTGGATAAACAGAGGTGTGTGGAGTAAGGAAACTTTCCTGAGGTTTTGCCCCACTGGGCTCCCTCGCTTGCGAGGCGAGTGCTCTAAACACTACACTATAGGACTCCACAATATTTTATGGTGCCCTCTTGGGCCTTGCAGAGCCACGATATTGCGTGTGAGGCTTCCACCAGAACCTTCCACCAAATGGCACATTGTTCAACATGATGAGTGCATTGCACAAGAATTTGCTGAAAACGTAACACTGTCTGCAAATAGGAGTTTCACAGTTATCCTGGAAATGCCTGGAACAGACACACCTAACCTATCCCTCTTCTCATTTAACTTTTATCTGTCACAATTTAAGTATCAGCTCAGTTGATCCTACAACTCTCAACTCTGAGTCAGAAGGTTATAGAATTTTAAGACAACAACGGGATTTTGACCTTATAGTCTACACTTTTAATGTAGTGCAGTGTTGTGAGAAACCCTGCATTGTTGGAGGTGCTGTCGTTCAGATGAGATGTTAAACTGGGCGTCTACCAGTTCAGGTGGACGTCAAAGATCCCAAGGCACTATTTTAAAAGAGAAGGATGTCCTGGCCAACATTCCTCCAGCTAAAATTGGTGATTCACTTCATTGCAGTTTGTGGGACATTGCTGTGTGTAAATTCGAGGCTGCGTTACCCTCTAACTAGTCACTACACTTTACAGTAAATCTTGAGATTTAAGACATTTTGAGACTTTTTTAAGCAAAGATTATTATTTTAAATGTAATAGTGTACTGATCAGCAATGGCATCTGACATATGGTGGCTGAGTCTATGCGCTGGCTACTTTAAATTTATTCTTTCTTGTCTTTCAGTGACTTGAGAATTGCAAGAGCGAGACTCCTCGAGTTTCTTGTAGATGTGACCTGTAAACCAGACATGATGAAAAAGGCCACGGATGACTATTTTTCCCTTTTACAAGGTGAGCAGTACTGGAAATGTATTAAAGGTCTAAGTTGAAGATCTGGTCCCAACTGTACTTTTTTTTAAACTTATGTCATATGGCGAAAGAACAGATTTAATCATTCAGTCGATTTGTTATTCGCTTGGTGTCCACTTTAATACAATTAGATGCAGATTTGACTTGGTTTCTCTTACTGTAAACTAGTGCCATTTTTGTGCCATCAGTATTTATTAGTTTATCTCTTACCTCCAAGGCCCGTCTCAAGACTTTCCTCTTTGACTGTGCCTTTGGTCACCCTCCTACACCCAACCTCCCTGACAGCCACCCCTCCTGAAACCAACCCTCAGCTCAGGTCCAAATCCTTGACTGCCCAGGGCCTTGGGACATCCTCCCAACGTGAAAGGTGCTATATAAATGCAATTTGTTATATATTGTGGAGTCCTGTAGCTCAGTGGTTAGAGCACTCGCTTTGCAAGTGAGAGACCTGAGTTCAATTCCAGGCAGGGCGAAACCTTAGGCAAGTTTCCTTACTCCACACAGAGCCTAATAATAATCCCTCCAAAACCGAAAACAATAATAAATTGGTCATTTTCAATCTACGACTGTTTGTGGGACATTGCTGTGCGCAATTGGCTGCCGCGTTCGCCCACAAATATACAGTCAATTCACTTTACAGTGTGTTCTGTGAAGCGCTTTGGGACGTCCTCCCGACGTGAAAAGCGCTATATCAAATGCAAGGATTATTATTATTATTATATTTAGTGTAATTCAGCATTTGGATAGCTGACCAGGCACTCAATCTCGTTCAGCGTCTCTCGCCCTAACCCTTCCTCCTGATTTTTTGCCGGGGTCAGTTCTGAAGATGCTGCCCACTTTCCAGCACTCTCCAGTCCAAGTGCCCTATTCTTTGTGGGTGACCCACAGCAGTAAATGTCCTTGGCTGAGAGGTGGAGGGGTCACTGGGTTTGTGTGCTACACCTACACTATTCCCTTCCCTCTGTTAAGACATTAGGGGGATTTAATTTAAATAAAAAATGAAGATACACTCTGAAGCATTTTATAATAGTTTTGGTCCCTTTAGCACAATTCTTCTCGTCCTTCCAGAATATTAAATAATTATAATCCTTGCATTTGATATAGTGCTTTATCATGTCGATGAGATGTCTCAAAATGCTTCACAGAATACATTGTGAAGTGAATTGACTGTGTTTTGTGGGCGAAAAACAGCAGTCGATTGCGTATACCAGTGTCCCACATTTTTTGAGGGATTATTAGCCCCAGAAAGTGACCAACAACTGGGTTCCTACTTACTGCTAGATTAACAGAGGCATGTGGAATAAGCAAACTTGCCTTAGGTTTCACCCCGCCCGAGAATCAAACCCGGGTCCTCTCGCTTATGAGTGCACTAACCACTACACTACGGGAATACCCTCCTTACTGTCCTCCCATTACAGATTCAAATGGTTCTTAAACAAGCCCCAGGTTTCTGTTCTGTCCACACCCTTTCTGGTAATTTGTTCAGCTGTGTGAAGAAATACATTCTGGTGTCTGTTCTAAACTTGCACTTCACACTGATGAGCCTGTGATGTCTTTATAATAATAATAATAATAATAATCCTTGCATTTGATATAGCGCTTTTCACGTCGGAAGGACGTCCCAAAGCGCTTCACAGAACACACTGTAAAGTGAATTGACTGTATATTTGTGGGCGAACGCGGCAGCCAATTGCGCACAGCAATGTCCCACAAACAGTCATAGATTCAAAATGATTCATTTTATTATTGTTTTTGGTTTTGGAGGGATTATTATTAGGTGTTGTGTGGAGTAAGGAAACTTGCCCAAGGTTTCGCCCTCTGCTTGGAATTGAACTCAGGTCTCTCACTTGCAAAGCGAGTGCTCTAACCACTGAGCTACAGGACTCCACAATTATGAATGTTGATGTTATGAATTATGTTAATTCGCCACCATTTGATAAATGACAATCCAGTCACTGAGGATCATTTAAATAACATTGCTATCCTACTGATTTTCCTACTGATGTAGATCATCTACATGATATGTCAATTATTAAGGTGTCGGCCTGGCTCAGTTAGTAGCACTCTCTACTCTGGGTCAGAAGGTTGTAGGTTCAAGTCCCACCAGTAATTGGAGCTCACAGTCTTGGCTGACAGTCCAACACTGCATTGTCAGAGCATCCAACATTGCATCCTTCAAATGTTGCACTAGGAAGGAAGGAACATAGGAACAAAAGGAGGCCATTCAGCCCTACGAGCTTGTTCCACCATTTAATTAGATCATGGCTGATCTGTACCGCAACTAGTCCTTTCAATTCGAATTTCCAGCTTTCTCCCCATATCCCTTAAATACCCTGACCTACCAAAAATCAATCAACCTCACTGTTGAAGGTGTGGGTTGATCTGGCATTCACAGCCTTTTGAGGGAGAGAATTTCCAAATTTCTACCACCCTTTGAGTGAAAAAATACTTCCTGATTTCACTCTTAAATGGCTCTGTTCTAATTTTAAGACTATACCTTAGATTGAGATTGGGTGAACGTTAAAGATCCTATGACGCTATTTGAAAAGAGAAGAGCGTTTCTCCTGGTATCCTGGCCAACAATCCCCCAGAGAGAAAAAGAAGGGTCAAGGCTGTTTGTGGCACAGTACCTTGCATACCATCTTGGAATCTTTAGTGTTTCATCTGAAGGAAGTGTCTGATCATGTAGAGCTCCCCAAAGTACTAGAGCGCCAGTCGAGACTCTGAACTCAAAATCCCAACTTTGGGCTTGAATCTTCAACCCTCTGAAATGTCAGTTGTGACATAGAATATGCCTATTTTGTACAATATTCTGTTTTAAATTTTAAATACATGTTTGTTTGTGTGAATGGATGCAGTATGTGCTCTAAAAAACTTCTCTTTAATCTTAGCCTGCTCTATGTACATTATAACTCAGATTATAGCTCAGATTTATCCTTAGCTTTATCAATTGAACCCTGTTTACACTGGGTCTTGGTATGATATGTTCTCAGTTATAGGAAGTGATGTCCCAGTTAAATTGATTTTGTTTTCTTCCTCTTTCTCCCTTCCCCCATACAATCCAAACCAGGCTTTATAACATCACTGGATGGCACAACACAGGAAAACAAACTGCGTTTCATTCAGAATTTCAAATGGACGGACACTTTACATGGCAACATTGCGAGGTACGTCTCTTCTAGTCTTTTACCTTACTAGATGTATGAATATTTTTGCACTCAGTGATCATCTTTATGATTGGCGCAGAATGAATAAGATGAAGAACATCCATTTTATAGCGTCTTCATCATGTCAAAACACTTCTAGGTGATTTACAGTACGTGTCTGATAACTGCTTTGCAGGCAACCGTGACAACTATTTTGCAAATCTCAAAGTTTGAAGAACCTCAATGAAGTGAATGACCAACTTACCTGGGATTTTATTTGCCAGGGTACTGAGAGAATCTGCCGTCCTCTTCTGATAGCGTTGCAAGGATCTTTAATCTGAAGAACATGCATTTTTTAAACTAAAACAGAAGTCACTGAGAACACTCAGCAGGTCAGGCAGCATCTATAGAGAAAGGAAAGTCAGTCAACATTTTGGGTCCACGATCCTTCAGTTCTGATGTTACTGTTACTCCCTGTTGTTATCACATTATCCATAATTATCAAAATATTCTTAGGAATTACTGTAAAGTTTAATATTCCATCACTTCAAAACTTCAGATTAACTGGCAATTCTTACTTTTGTAAAGGGCTTTGAGACATTTTTACATGAAAGATGCTTTGTAAATGCAGATTATTGTTAATCTCATTGTTCGTAGGAAGCGTCTGGTGCAAAGTAGTTTTGTTTCCACCGAGGGGGTTAGTTAATGTGTGCTGTTCAGGCAATAATAATAATCCTTGCATTTGATAAAATGCGCTATCACGTTGTTAAGACGTCTCAAAGTACTTCACAGGATTTACTGCAAAGTGATGTGGCTGCGTATATTTTGTGGGTGAACAATAACACAGCATCTTTCATCACCCAAAGTTCAATTGACGATAGTTATTGAACAATAAGCATTGCAGTTGTATGAACAATGGTAACAGGATCTTAAACCTGACTTGTTCACTTGAAAACAAACTGTGCTGAGGCCACACAGAGCCAGGCTAGACTGCTCTGACTCCCAACAATGGAGTGCGTTTTAATGAATGCTGCAGTCAGGGTTTCTGTGGTACGAGTTCAGAATAAAAGGCTATCTTACATAAAACAATCCAGTCGAATGCAGGACAGATGCTGCGTACAAATTCTGGAGTCCTGTAGCTCAGTGGTTAGAGTACTCGCTTTGCAAGCGAGACACCTGAGTTCAGTTCCAGGCCGAGCGAAACCTTGGGCAAGTTTCCTTACTCCACCGCCTAATAATAATCCCTCCAAAAACCCCAAACAATAATAAATTGGTCATTTTCAATCTACGACTGTTTGTGGGACATTGCTGTGCGCAATTGGCTGCCGCGTTCGCCCACAAATATACAGTCAATTCACTTTACAGTGTGTTCTGTGAAGCGCTTTGGGACGTCCTCCCGACGTGAAAAGCACTATATCAAATGCAAGGATTATTATTATTATTAAATCAGTCTCTTGATCTACATCTCAAATGCCTTCCCCCTCTCCTCCGCTTTGACAGAATATATCGCAAAGTGGATTGACTGTATTTTGTGGCAACCAATAGCGCACAGCAGTGTTGCACAAACAGTTGTGGATTGTGACCAATTTTTTGGGAGGGTTTATATATTTTATATATATTTGCCTTCATATAGCGCCCTTCACGCGGATAGTGTCTTGGAAGAATGGCCGAGCTTGACGCTGAGCCAGCAGGAGAGGGAAGGTGACTGTAGGTACAGTTGAAGAGCAAGGTCTTCAGGTGTGATCTGAAGATGGACAGGGAGAGGGCAACTGGAATGGTTAAGGCAGGAAGTTGCAGAATCTTGGGGAGCAGTGTCTGAAATCATGGCCGCTGATGGTGGAGCAGAGCTATAGCTATAGCTGAGCAGATGGTGCTGGTAGAGAAGTGAGGTGTAAGCATGTCATAGAGGTAGGAAGGTGCCAGGGCATGAAGAGATTTGTGGTAAATGAGAGGATTTTGAAATTGATCCATTCTGCACTCGAGAGCAAGTGGAACCTGACAAGGATCGGGGTGATGGGGGGCAATATGTTAGAGGTGGAGGAAGCGCTCCTGGTCAGGAATCGGATATGAGGTAGGAAGGATAGCTGGGGATCAAACCTGATGCCTAGGTTATGCACAGGTTCAGTGAAATTGAGGGATTTAATTTCCTGAACTCCAAAGGATAGTGTGCCCGACAGTGCACTTAAGTGTCTGCCTGGACTGAGCTCAAAGTCACAACATGGAGCTTTTCAACAAGTGTTATCTAGTTGAGTTTTATATTTTTATTCTCTTTTTCTCTCAGATAAAAAAAACAAATTGGGCCTGTTTATAGGAAAGTGTTTTCCCCCAGCTCACCACAAAGTAAACCTGTCTGTCCTCTTGCCTTTTCAAGCATTTTTGAACTCAATCACTGCTATCGTTGGTCTCACTGCAGACCTAATGCAGAGTGACAGAATCAGGCCTTGCTGAAGCGTGTTGTGAATTTCTTTTCCTGATAATCAGTCTAATATATTCGCCAAACCATTTGACTGGATTTATTTTCTGCAGATCGTCAGTCTGCATAAGCCTGAAGAGCCTTTAAACTTTCGTTTAATAATTTATAGAATGCAGGCTTTTACCATGGTTCCACATGGATTATGCAAGTCTTCCAGGGAATTTTGTATGACTTTGTGTGTGTGTGTGTGTGTGTCAGTCTTTCAAGTAATGTATACGCAGACACACGCATGTAATGTCATCTTCAGGTGACAAAGGTCAGGACTTGGAATCATATTGTCCATGTTGATGCTCCAATGCAGTCATGTGTTGCATTGTTGGAGATGCTGTTTGTTAGGACACTACTGTACGCAAGTGACTGCCGCATTTTACCCATAAAATACACAGACAATTCATTTTACAGTGTATTTTGTGAAGCGCTCTGAGACGTCTCGAAGATGTGATGAGGTGCTATTTCAAATGCAAAAATTCTTATTATAAGTCCTGCGCTAGTTTGGGTGGATGTTGAAGATCCCACAACACTATTGAAAAAGCGAAGAGAGTTTCTCTGGCGAAAAATTACCTAGATTAAAACAGTCATTAACCCTCATGGTTGTTTGTGGGCTTTGCTGTGTGCAGAATGGCTCTTGCACTTGCCATTCTGCAAAAAATAAAATAATTTGATCATTCAATCCACGTCTGTTTGTGGGACACTGCTGTCCACAACGGGCTGACACGATTTGCCCACAAAATATACAGTCAATTCACTTGACATTCTGTGAAGTGCTTGAGACTTCTCGACGTGATAAGGCACTATATCAAATGCAAGAATTATTATAAATGCTGGTAAAAACTGTCAGTAATAACTGAAATGCTTTGAGATGTTTCAGCGTGATAAACCATCATTGCTTTTCCAGTATTTTTATTCTATTTTTTTCTCCATCAAATGGAGAAAAATAAACATAAGAAACTCTCTTGTCTTATTTTTCTCACCCAGTGCTCAGCAGGATGCCATTTTCGAGTTGGTCTCGATGGGCTTCAACATCGGCTTGTGGTACACAAAATATGCGTCCAGACTATCTGGAAAGGAGGAGTAAGTATCAACACTGGCTGTTCTTAAGATTTTTCTCCATTTGCGACTGTCGAATAACAGGAATTGATGCTGAGGTGTTTTGATTTTCAGTGTGAATGTGGATGAAGCCAAAGAAATTCACAGAAGCCTGAAAAATGCCGCAGGAATCTTCAAATTCATCAAGGTGATCCATGGCCTCAGCGCGACTCATTTTGAAACTCGTTCTTTTTAACTTCAGTGCATTTAGTGCAAGGAGTTCCGTGGGTAGTTGTTAGTGCGCTTGCCTCGCAAGTGAAAGGATCCAGGTGCGATTCCTGGGCAGGGAGAACCTTTGGCGAGTTTCCTTACTCCAAACGCCTCTGTTTACCTGGCAGTAAGTAGGAACCCGGTTGTTAGTCGATTGGCAGATCGCGTTCTGGGGATAATAATCCCTCAAAAAAAAGTCACTCAATCCGTGATTGTGGGACACTGCTGGGTGCTGCATTTCACCCACAAAATATACATTCAGTCCACTTTACATTATATTCTGTGAAGCGCTTTGAGACATCTCAATGTTGTGTTTAGGCGCTATATCAAATGCAAAGATTGTTAATACAATAGCTTGCAATTGCATGGCAACTGCACTTAGGTTGCACATGTCGAAGGTTTCACATCAAGAATGGGAATCGCCAAGTAGAGAGGAGTGTTGGTGCGTTGACCGAAGGCATGGTCAAAGAGATGTTTTCTTTCAGAGGGGTTTGATGGTGGTGAGTGACAGTAGGAACCAGGCAAAGAGATTTTAGGATAGTTTCATAGTGACAAAAGGCTTAGCAGCTGTTATGAATAAGTTTTCCAGAAAAATTTATCATTCACCTTGTCGTGACTTGCTTGCGGAATATTGTTGTATGCTAACCAGCCGTTACATTTGCCTAAAACATTTGCCTCCAGTGCCTTTGGACATCCTCCGGATGTGAAAGGCGTTATACAAATGTGATTTGTTGCTGTTAGTCCAGCCTTTTGACTGCCAAGAGCTGGATGCCCTATTTGAGAAAGGCTTGCGGGCTGCATAAGCAATATTTTTGTGTTTCCTTTCCAGAAACATAAGAACATTTACACAGCGCCTTTCTCATGTCGGAAGGACGTCTCAAAGCGCTCAACACCGCCGGCTGGGCACCCGAGCCGGGGGTGGGAGCCAAGGGAGACGGGGAAAAGATGACTGAAAGTGCAGTCAAAGGGTTAGGTCTTGATGTGGCTTGAAAAGAGGTAGGGAGTCGGAGGGACTCCAGGAATGGAGCTCCATAGAGCGGCGGCAAAATGAGGATGGTGGGGCAGATGGGATGGAGGTGGACATGAAGTAAGCCAGTGTTTTCTCTGCAAAAGGAATGGTTGGCTCGGGAATTCGCAGCGGTGGGGGGAAGAGGTTCAATGAAGCTTGTCGAGGAGTTTCAAACTGGGGAAAGAGGAAGCTTTCTGTGAGGAAACTAAACGGCACATCACTTGGTGTCAGTCCTTTGTCCCCTCCACGGTGAAGGGAAGCTCAGACAGTGAACCACAAAACGCTGCCCTCACTTCTCTCTCTAATCTTTCTCAATCTCTTTTGCTCCTCCTCTTCCCCCTTGCTCTCTCTCTCAATCTCTCTCTCAAACACTCTTTCTCACTCCCCTCTCCTTCCCACACATACAATCTCTCTTCTCACACTCATTCTCTCTCCCCCTCCTTTCCTCCCCCTGTTACTTTTTCTTTCCCTCACACAGACGCACACTCTTTTTCTGTGTGTCTGTCTGTCTTGGGACGGATGAATCATCTGCTCGGCTGGTTGCAGCCTGCGGGCCTGTGGTCCTCCTGGACCACCCCAGTCTAGAATAACACAGAGCTTGTTTCAATATATTAAGATGCTTGTAAAAATGTGAATACTTTAAAGAGCAATGAATAATTCTGCTGTAAAAAAAATTGCTGTGTTTGGTTGCGGATGATTCCAAAACTCTTTTTTTCTTTAAAAAGGAAAGCCAAACGTCCAGACTGGTGACGCAACCAGAGAAAGGGACGGATTTGGACTCTCGGGTTATAGAAACCTACATTGTGCAATGTCAGGCTGAGGCTCAGGAAGGTACGTGGGTAGAAATGGTTCAGTATGTCTTCTAGCACTTTGCCAGTCACCAGCTGGGTGACTGACACTTGCAGAATAGCATCACCATGCTCAGGATTTTATAAATTTGCTGATAAAGTTGTAGAATCCTGTAGAGTATTGCTCAGAGTGCTTGCCTCGCAAGTGAGAGAACCAGGGTTCGATTCCCGGGCGGGCCGAAACCTTAGGCAAGTTTCCTTACTCCAACATGCCTCTGTTTACCAAGCAGTAATTGCTGAGTATGTTGGGAGCATCTTGGCAAGTGCAAAAGTTTGGGGATGTGATGTGTCCATTGGGAGATAGTGCTGGACTTTAACCAGCTAAAACGACACAGCGTGCAATTGAGAGCACTGTTTGGCAAACTTCCAACTGCTTGTCTAGCTAAGACCACCCTACCCTTTAGGGCTTTAGCTTGTAGGATTATCAAGAATCAAGTGAAAAGAATCACAGTTTTGAGTTACCAGTTAACGTTAGAAATAGATTTCTGTATTTTTCTTCCTCAATCCCAAAATATACAAAGTAAGAGACATTCTGGACTTTCAAGTATAACTGATTATTACTTTTTCTTTTGGTTTAAGTTACCATTGCGAGAGCTATTGAACTGAAGCATAAAGCAGATCTGATTGCAGCTCTGGCAAACGAAACTGCCATTTTCTATCAGAAAGCTGGTGAGTGTCCTGGGTTTGAAGTATAGCCCTGTGTCCATCTGTGCAATGTAACTGATTGGGGGGAGTCAACCAGTATAGGAGCAAACACACAAAGTTGTTCCTTTTACAAAGCTTACAAAGAGTGATCCTTAAATATCAGGGTTGACTCAGCCTGGCTCAGTTGGTAGTATTCTTGACTCTTGAGTCAGGAGGTCGTCAGTTTGAGCCTAGTGGGGCTTTGAAGTCACATAGTCAAGGATGCTACGCCAGTGCATTGCTTGGGATGTGCTGTATTGTCAAAGGTGCCGTCCTTCTGATGAGACTTTAAAATAAGATCCCGTCTAACTCTTCAGATACACTTTAAAAATCCCTTGGCACTATTTGAAAAGAGCAGGGAGTTTCTCCTGGTGTCTGGCCAACAATCCCCCACATAAAATTAGCCAATTATTTCATGGTTGTTTGTGGGACATTGCTTTGTGCAAATTGGCTGCAGTGTTCGCCTACAAAACACACAGTCACTATACTTTACAATAAATCATGTGAAGTACTTTGTGACATTCTCTCAGTGTGAAAGGTGCTGTATCAGATACGAAGGTGATAATTATTACTATTTATTAATAGGAACCTCTGGAATTGGATCAGTGCCCTGGGTTAGGGAGAGGTGGTAATGAGTAGAATTCTTTCCTCTGGTTCAGAAGATTGTGCATTCAAGCTTGACACTGAGACAGTCAAGCTCACAGTCTAGGCTGATACTCCAATGCAGCATGGCGTTGGGTGGGGGATGGGGTGGAGCGAGAGCGAGTGTTACTTTGTTAGAAGCGTTACCCTTTGGATGAATCTTTTAAACTATGGTCCTGTCTGCCCATTCTGGTGACATGGCACTATTGGAGTTTATCCTCGTGTCCTGGCCAACAGTCCTGATAAATTGGTCATTCACTTCAAGTGTAGGACCTTGAAGTGTGTAAAATGTCTGTCTTGTTTGGATAAACATACACACTTCCTGCACTTGACAGTAATTCCCTGTGAAACACTTTGAGATGTTTTGATGTTATCAAGTATAAAGACTATTATTGTGTGTCAGCCTGGCACAGTGGTACCACTCTCATTTTGTCTGAAAGTTGTGGGTTCAAGCCCCATGTTGGGTATTGGAATCACATAATCTAAGCTGACACTCCAATTCAGTGCCGGGGTGGCGGGGTGTTGCATTGTCAGAAATGCTGTCATTCAGATGAGATATTGAAACCGAGGTCCCGTCTGCCTGTTCAGGTGTACGTTAAAGATCTTGTGACACTATTCAAAAAGAGAAAGAGTTTCTCCCGATGGTCAAGAATCCCCCAAATAAAATAGGTCACTCACTCCATAGCTGTTTGTGGGACATTGTGGTACACATTGTGCCGCGTTCACCCACAAAATACAGTCAATCCACTTTACAATACATCCTGAGAAGTGCTTTGAGATGTCTCAATGATGTGATAAGATGCTATATCAAATCCAAGGATTATTATTATTATATAACGCTTTCTATCTCAGTGATTTCTATCTTCTGTGTCAGGAGTCTACGCAGCTGAATAAATGGATACATGCATGCACGTATTTTGCCCTTGGGTGGAAGCTCATCTGTGTGCTTTGTCTTTACAGATCACACTCTCACAAGCTTGGATCCTGCCTACATAACAAAGTGGAGGAAATACTTGCAGCTCAAAAACTGTTTCTATCTGGCATATGTAAGCCTTTTTCTTATTGTTGCATCCTTCAGTCTTTATAAATTGTGTATAACCGTGCGGCTGGATTGAATCCCTTTGTGAACCTTGCTGCAACTTGTTGCTCTGTGTGGAGACAGGTCGACACCTCAAGGTTGGGGTGAAGAAGCCACAACACCAACTTGCAAAACTCAGCCACCCGAATCCCTAACTGAACGAGTCTTCACATGCCTGTTATTACAGTCCTCGCTGGGCTCCAGTGCCTCCCCATCTCCCAGCGAATCAACTTCCAAATGCTCACTCTCACTTCCTCCCTAACTGCTATTTTCTCTAGCCTCACTCTCCTGCTGCTCCTTCACTCTACCATGCCAACCGAGCCCCTTCAGCCACTATGGCATCACTCTCTCAACTGACCCTTCATTTCCTTCCACCCCTCCCTTTCCCCCACCTCCCTCTTTGATCATGGTTTGGTCACCTCCCCCACCCCCAGTCCCTCAACTCTGTCTGGCACTATCTCTGAAGAGTGCTCCGAGTTGTTATTACATGAAGTGCGTTATATAAATGCCAGTTGTTCATTTGGCTAAATGATCCTGTCCTTCCGTTTGCCTGGTTTATTGCTCTCTCTGCTGTCCTCGCTCCCTTTCACATGGGCAAAAAGGAGACTGATCAGAACCAACAGTGAATCGGAGTATTGTGCATGCAAATAATGGGACAATCCCATATGGTTGACATCTGGAAGCCAGAATGTGAAAGCTGATCTGGGCAGCTGTATTTTACAGATGCCACTGAAGCTCTGTGCGTATTTGCATCTAGTCAGGTGTATGACTCTTTACAGGCATACTGCTACCATGGCCAAACCCTTCTGGCCAACGACAAGTGTGGGGAAGCCATCCGCTCGCTACAAGAAGCAGAGAAGTGTAAGTACAAAGAAACCAGAATCGCTGATTTTTTAAGAGTTGTCCCAGCAAGTCCAATGTCTGTGGGTTTCAAGAGCTACTGAATAGCTATAATATTATAATAATAATCCTTGCATTTAATATAGGCCCTTATCACGTTGTTGAGATGTCTCAAACGTTTCACAGTGGATTCACTGTGTATTTTTTGGCACCCAATCGCATACAGCAGTGTCCCATCAACCTGGTGGATAAATCCCTGAGTAGTGCAGTCCTGGGCTATTCATACTGGATGGTTGCAGGTTCTAATCCCTGTCCTGTGACAAATTAGCAAAGCTCGATCAGAACAGTATTTGGGCTACAGTTGACCTCAGTGAGTGCCCCCAAGGAACAGAAGAGGGAAAATCAGCCACGGTTCCTGCTGCTGATCACTTTCCAGACATGCCCCCCACCCCCACTGGAAGATTCTGAACACAAGATACAGTACTGGCCGGGGCAATAGGTGAGAGGGCAGGGGCACCAGGCAGCAGCATCTGATCCCATTGCTGGCCAAGGCATTAGTGGTCAGAGGGAGCTGATTGATCCTTAGATCACAGTAGGGTGGGGAAGCAGGGAGATCGAAAGCAAGGTCGAAGAGGAGGGTCTTGAGGTGGGTCTTGAAGGGGGCGATATGGAGGAACTGCGAGATGGAGTTCCAGAGGTTGGGTGTAGATTGCGGAAGGTACAGTATGTTAAATGCAAGGATTATTACGTTCTTTTCAGGACTGGTCATATATCTCTGCAGCAAAGCCCCATGCACAGCACCCCCTATTGGTAGGTGAGGACTATTTTTGTTGAATTGTCAGTGTGCTGGGTAGAGCTTCTAACCTGCAATTTGTGGTCCTGGGAATGTTACATGTCTGAGAATGAACTCCTCAAGGGCAGTGAAAAAGCATGCACAGATGTGAAGTGGGGGGGCACTTTTTACCTTCTCTGGGAGACAAAGTAAGGATACCTGCCTACATTTTTACCAAACCACAGAGAACCCTGACTCTCTCGTACTCCTGCACCCCGCCATGCCACACACACATATATATATATAGGATTTCGTAGAACGTGATTTGCCGAAACCAGTAATTCCCCCTTGGCTCACACCCACTCACTCAGCACAAATCTGGTTTGTGTGGCTGCATGCTATGCTGTATTGGGTGGTGCTGACTAAGGACATTGGAAGAAGCTGTGCCTGCTTTGTTTTAACGTATAAAGCACTTTGCTCCAAAGTCTCACACTGCTTGAGGTGTGAAGTATTTTATGCATGTCTAAGTCTCTCGTGTTGCGGAGCGTTGTGCTCTGATACACCAAAGAGAGAGAAACACGGGCTGCTTTATCTCCAGTACCAGAGGAAGACATCTGATTTTTTTTTTTTGCTTTCTGTTGCAGTTTACACTAAGGCTGAGGTATTGTGTAAGGAATATGGTCAGACAAAGGGTCCGGGGACAACAGCAAAGCCATCCGAGCACTTGTTCTTCAGGAAATTGGGATCATTGGTCAAAAATACCCTGGAAAAGTGCCAGCGAGAGAATGGATTCATGTAAGTATCAGCACAAACTCATCTAAAATCCAGTTCTTTTAAAACGTTTGTCCAAACTTCAGAAGACAGACTGGTAGAATGTTACACCACTGGTCCATCAACTCTGTGCTGGTGTTTTGGCCCTGTGAGTCACCTAATCTAAGGAAGTCCAATTGTGGGCGAAACGTGGCATAGCAATTGCGCATAGCAGTGTCCCACAACCAGTTTTGGCCAAAATATATTTTTTATATAGAAAGGTGGTTGAAATAGATTTTCAAATCAAAGCAAAAGTCATTTCACTTTCCGCCTTCTCTCTTACCCCCACCGCCACTTTTTTTAAAGTTACTTCCAAAAGGTTCCTCCTGAAGCTCCACAGTTGGAACTGAAGGCCAGTTATGGTTTGGTGGAGCCACAGAAGTTTGAGCTGCCGTCACTGGACAGTCAGTGGAGCCCAGAGGTGTACTCTGCATTTGACATCACAAAAGGCCTCAAGGATGACAAGGTATGAAATGAAGAAGGGTGGGGGGAGAGGAATTGCCAGTGGGCAATTAATAATTATAATAATAATCCAATTATAATAATCTTTGCATTTGATATCAGGCAGCAATGCCAGGCCCACTCTCAGTGGACATGGAGTGCTGCAAAACAACTTATTATTTGGGGGAGAAATTGGATCACTTGGGATGAAAGACGGGATTAACATGCACGTTTGAACCTTTCTGTGCTGCATGGGAATTGCAGAGGTGGAACGTTAGTGCCTGATTCCTGCTTGAGCCGGAAGTGTCAGGCTGCTTCATTCTTCAGCAGAGTCGTTAGACCCAGTAGAGGAGCTGTCTCTGGCACAGGCGTGATGGCTGAATGGCCCCCTCCTGTCCTGTAATTTCTGCTCTGCCACTGTCAAGTGCTCTATATAAATGCAGGTTATTGTTGACCATTTATTCCATCCCACACCTGCATGCATTTGAACTAAGACCAACCAAAAATCTGATGCATTCAGCGCCTTTGAAATATTGCTGGATATTCTCTTCTTTAGGTTAAAGATGCGAAGGAAGAGGAGTTGAAGCCTATGAAGGAGCCTGACCTGAAGCCGCACAAGGACACTGGTTGTGTGATTTGTTAGAGGGATCGATACCTGGAACTTTCTCTCAGCACGGATCGCCAGTGATGGCTTTATAACTACATATTCCGCGCTGCCTAAAACCGTCTCCTCACCTGCTCGGACATTCATCTTTCTCCAAAACACGACGATACTTTAATCTCACCTTATCTCGATTAATGTATTTTATTTTGAAACCATTGTTACCATATTTAATGAAGGCATGCGCCAATCATTCCATGATCCTGGGTGGGGGGAGAGAGAGCTCTTCAGTGAGATTGGATAGGAATCCTTGCTGTGTTCTCCCACAGGAGATGAAGAGTGATTTCCCTCCTCTTCCGCCCACCCGCCCTTATATCTGTGTATATTTTCTTCACCATCGTTATCGCCTATTCCATAAGGAGTTCATTGTCAGTGGCCATAATATTAGCATTTCCAGGAACCCACATTGCAGTTTGAGCTCTGGCCTGCAAATTCCAAGCTTGTCTGCAGACAGTCAGCATTGAACCTTCCAAAACTTAGTGTTAATTTCTAAAACCTACCTCCCTCCTTCCCTTCACCTTATATTTACCACTCACTCACCTCACAAATACTTTCATTCTTGTCATCTGTTTTCAACTTGGATTTCTTAATGGAAGGTCTGCGCCCCATTTTCCTTTGGATACTGTTCAGTGAATGTTTAATAGATGGTGTTTGGGAGTATAAACCTATTGCTTTTCTCTTTACTGGGATGCAGCATTTCAGTTTTTGCAGTTGCTCCACCTAACAGTGCAGCCCACTCCATCCTAAGTGAGGCAATCCAGTCAGAACGAGGGTACAGCACAGGAACCATTGGAGCTATCTCATGGTGCTATTGTTCATAAGAATATACAGGACCTTTCCTGATCTCAACCCCATGGCCCCGAGCTCTCTTTATAATCTCGAACTGTCCCGTGTGGTTTCGGGTAAGGAACGACACACATTGTTTCTGATTAGTTAACAAAATCAACAAAACTGATCAACAAAATTCTTCCCCCAAAAATTATCTCAATTCCTTCTAACTACTTAAAAAAAAGGGTTTAAATCTGCCACTAAGCTGCAATGTGGTAAAGTGATTTGTAGTGATTTTTCAATGGGTTGAAAGCCCTGGGAGAAACTGAGCACAGTTTGGGGTAGAAGTTGAAACTCTGGAAAGATACCACACTGATCAATGGAGCTGTGAATATAAATTGCAATGCTTTTTTTCTCTATAAAACTTCAAGAAGCATAAATGTAATCTACTCTCCAGTGGGCAATGTGGCAAACTAGTTGGCAAATCACAAATTACAGCAGCACTGCAGAAATCTTCCGAAATCAGGCTCCAATTGTAGGAACCCTTTGCGGAAGTCAAGAATCTCTGCTCCTGGCTGCTGAGACGTCACAGAGCAGATTCTAGTTGTGGAGTGTGCTATCTCTGCCCCGTGGGTGAGGTATGGGAGAAAGACATCCCACCTGCCCATGCGTGGAGAATGTGGTCTTGTTTGGCAGAGTCCAAGGCAGTGCTGCTGGGATTGAATCAGCTGCAATCATTCAGGTTATCAGTATGGCGCACTGCTGATCTTCCCACTGCTTGTCTAGTTCTGAGTACCCCACTGATTAGGGCTTTGTATAGTGTGTGTTTATATATAGAGTAGGTGTATAAGAAGACTAGCGAGAAGAATCCTGTTCCCCCAATCTGACTGTCCCATTGAAGAATCAGGAAGACTAGTCAATAGTGGGGAATTGCAGGGCCACCTGGCTCAGGTATCTGATCATTGAGTCGATCACGGAGTTGACTCAGCTCTGGTCTCCCTTTGGTAGATGGGTCACCAGCCAGCTCGCTTGACTCCAGGGATGACTTTCCATCCCTCGCTCCCCTTCACACCCCCAAAGCCAAGTGGGTCTTGAGTATCGAAACATGTGATCAAAGCATCAAGTTATATATAATTTTCAGGCTGAAAACTAGGAGTTAATGGCAGCCAGGGAGGGCAAAAGTTGAGACAATATCCTGCACCGCCACACATTATATTAACTGGCACCATGTGTAACTCCCAGAATCATTTTTACTTTTTATTCTCTTGTCTGTGAATGACTTCTATATGGTCGCTTTCGTATTAAACCTCTTATTACCTGCCTGATGGCTAGGCTGCGAGATTGCTTGGGTATGCGGATGAATTGTTTTCACTAATGTGGCTTTAATAGTTCTAAGGTGACATGAGTTGCACTATTACACAGGAAGTGATCCACGGAAAATAAACACCTGGTGCTTAATGGTGCTAAATACATATTGTATTCTGTAAGTACGTTGTTGAGGAATTTTAGAGATTGTGCGAGGAATCCAGTTTTTATGGTGAAATGGTGATTTCAGATGCCCTGGAGAAAACAACAAACCGTTACAATTTGATCTTCACACTTCCACTGAAAGCCAGACAAACTTTGAAATCTTGGAATAGCACAGCTTTAGGGGGGAGATGGAGATTAATCAGGGAGAAAGTTTACCTGGAAACGGGGAGGTTCCCAATTTCTTAACTGGCACTTTTAACACTCACCTGAAGAATAGGCAAACAAGACCTTTCACCCACAAAATATACAGTCAATTCATATACTGTGAAGCACTTTGAGAAGTCTCGAAGATCAAATGCAAGGATTATTATTTTGCGTCTCCTTTTTGCTCAGCTGGGTGTCTGACACAGGAACCATTACTATGCTTAAGAGTTTCCAACAACAACAAAATTACATTTATATAGCGCTTTTCATGTCGGGAGGATGTCCCAAGGCGCTGGACAGACAGAGTTTCGGACCTGAGCTGAGGGATGGGGTGGGGGAGGGCAGGGGGACAAGCAGGGAGATCGAAAGCATGGTTGAAGAGGAGGGCCTTGAGGTGGAGAGGGAGGGGGTGAGATGGAGGAAATGTGGGATGGAGTTCCAGAGGGTGGGTGCAGAGTGGAGGAAGGCCCGCCCCCGTGGGGCTAGCAAGGTGGGGGACGGTGAAGCAGGCCTGAGCCTGCTGAACAGAGGGAGCGAACAGGATGGTAGGGGGTTAGGAGGTTGGAAAGATAGGGGGGAGCAAGACCGTGGAGGGCTTTGAAAGTGAGGAACAGGATCTTGAACTGTATCCTTTGTGTGATGGGAAACCAATGGAGTTGGGCAAGGATGGGGTAATAGTCACGGAGCCTAGTGCGGGAGAGGATAAGGGCTGCAGCCTGCGTAGGGAGTAGTTGGGGAGGCCGACAAGCAGTGAGTGCATAGACGAGCGTTGGATGTAATAAAGGCGTAGATGGTAATGGATGGTGATACTGTCAGCGCCTGAGGTGAAGATCAACCCAAACTACACATGGGAATCCCAGAGATAGATTGTTGGAATGGAATGCACACTGTCTCCCTGGCGGGAAGCTTCCTGATCATCTAATTCTGGAAAGTGTCAGGCACAGGTCCTGCAAAAAATATTAAGACAAAAAGTATTCTCTTCCCCCCACCAACCCCAGCAGAGCACTGGAGAGTCAGCCTACACTGCAAGCTCAAAGCCTGTCCCAGAAGCCAGAGTGCTACCATATGAGGAAGATTGACATTGAATTCAAGATCCCTGCAGTATAAATTCTGTGTCACACCCACCAAACAAACAAGTAATTCGAGGCAGCAGCTTTCTGTTTCCTGAAATCCACAAGCCTGCTGCTTGGCTCTGATGTGATCTGTTTATTTTAATTTCCCAGGGGTTGCATTTCCGGGATTCTTTGCAATTTCTCTGGCGTTTGGAAAGGGAATTCGATTCTTAAGGGGGAAGCGGTGGATTGTCAGATCTGCACAGAAATGGAATCGGATATACAGAGGATTGTGCCGGTGAGATGTGTGAAGGGGTGCAGGTGCACACAGCTTGGTAATACTGTGGGTTTATGAATGTCTTAAGTGTTAAAAAGGTTTTTAATAATCGAGAGATTACTGGATTGATCTCAACACAGAAACGTTTATTATCATTTTCAACTGCAAACAATTAAGACGTTTGATATTACCCCGACCTTCCTCCATTAACACTGGTCAAGCAGGGACACGTTTCACCGAAGGTTGGAAACGAGAGGCTTTTAGCAACGATCTGCAATTGAATAACAAGGTTTGGACATGCTTCTGGGGGAAAGCCAATTAGGAAGAGATTGATAGTGTTCCAGAGAGACACGGGCAGGACAAGACCAAGAGGTGGGTTTGGCTTACAGGGTTAGGGTCAGAGTGGCCGTGCTTCATCATTGCAAAAGTATAATTTATTTCACGCATCACATCAGGACTGTGTGTGTGCTGGGAGTCCGTGCAACGTACTAAGTGTAACTTGTTCACTGAAGCTAAACGTATTTTCTTAAAAAAAAATTCCTTTCACTGGAGGTGAATGGGTGCAGTCTTGTGCAATGGTCAAGATCCGGGTTGGTATCGGTGCTCACTCAGCCTTCACTCTTTGACCCCTAAATTGCTTTATCTAACTTTCAATAACACACTTAATGTTTATAATAATTATGGCACTTAGTATAAGTATGATCATGTTAAAAAGCCTCATAGTTGTATGCGAGCCTTTAGACAGTCAGCAGACGATTTAATTTAGCACATGGAGCCGTTAATTGAATCACGTTAGACTTTTTACTTCTGTTTGCCCACCTGTTTGTGTAAACTCTGCTAACCTGATCCTGTATATATTTCTCCCTATCCATTTTCAGAGCTTTTAACAACAGCAGCAACAAGTTGCATTTAGTCCTGTAGCTCTGTGGTTAGAGCACTCGCTTTGCAAGTGAGAGACCTGAGTTCAATTCCAGGCAGGGCGAAACCTTGGGCAAGTTTCCTTACTCCACACTCCTAATAATAATCCCTCCAAAAACCAAAACAATAATAAATTGGTCATTTTCAATCCATGACTGTTTGTGTGACATTGCTGTGCGCAATTGGCTGCTGTGTTTGCCCACAAATATACAGTCAATTCACTTTACAGTATATTCTGTAAAGCACTTTGGGACGTCTAGAAGACGTGAAAAGCGATATATCAAATGCAAGGATTATTATTATTTTTATTATTACACATGGGGCAGAGTTTGGGAGCATAGCAGCACAGACTCCCCACCAGTGTAGAGGCAAGGGCATGTAAATGCAGCACAAATTGAATTAGCGGGGAGACAAACTTTGGGAATATAACAGAATATATTTTCCCTCTATTTCCTTTCCCTCCTCTCCGAGCATGACTAACTTCTCTATTGGGTTACGATTTCCATACGTACCCTCTGGAACTTCCCACCAAGTGGTCACCTAGATAACAAAATTGATTTTCCTCTACCCAGAATACTAACTGGCTCAGTGATAGCATTCTCGCCTCTAAGTCAGAAGGTTGTGGGTTGAAGGTGGACCTTAAAGATCCTGTATTCGAAAAGAGAATGGAGTTTCTCCTGGTGTCCTGGCCAACAATCCCCCAAATAAAAATAAATTGGTCAATCCCTCCATGGCTGTTCATGGGACATTGCTGTGCGCAAACTGGCTGCTGGGTTTCGCCCACAAACTATATAGTCAATCTACTTTACAATGTAATCCTATGTAGTGCTTTGAGATGTCTGGATGATGCCATAAGGCACTACATCAAGGATTATTACTTAAAATAATAATCCTTGCATTTGATACAGCACTTTTCATGTTGTCAAGATGTCCCACGCGTTTCACAGGATTTTGCTGTAATGTGTAGTGATTGTATTTTTAGCTGAACATGGCAGCCAATTTTCACAGAACAAGCAGTTCTGAAGTGAATGATCAATTGATTTAGGGGACTGGTGGCCGAGACACTGGGAGAAACTCCCTTCTGTTTTCCAATAGCACCATGGGATCTTTAACATCCATCTGAACAGGCAGATGGGACGATTGTTTAGTGTCACTTCTGTAGGACAACAGGTCTGACATTGCATCGCTCTCCCTGGTTCTGTAATGGAGTGTTAGACGACACTGTGAGTGCAAAGTCTTGACGTGGGGCTTGAACCCACAACCTTCTGACTCGGAGGCAAGAATGCAACCGACCAACTGCCATCAACTACAGCCAATTGTAGTCTCAACCGTTGCCCTCGCTGAGATCAGAAGCGAGCGGAATGGTGCTCATAAAAACTGCAATGCAGCTTTGATGGCCTGCAACATGTTATGATTCGGGTGCAATTACATTAATTCCATGTTTTGTGATGAACATTTCCATTCCACTAGCTTTGATAAGTTTCATTGCATGTTCTGCAAGATGCAATAAATTTTCAAAGTGCACAGGAATTATGATAGGTGGCAAAACTCTAGAGCATGTGACTTAAGAAAAGCCATATACCCCCTCAGGTTAGTATAATTATTTTATGCTTCAAAGGCATCCATCAACTCAGGACTGTGGGGAAATCTTTCTCTTCAGAACCGGCTCATCAAGTTTAAACTTATCTCGAGTTTGTTCTTAAATATTCTTGTATATATTATATTCTCTTCCTCTTCCAATTCAGAGAACTCAGCTTTGAAACTATTCCAGTTTTCCTGTTCTGTTAATCATAATAATAATAATCCTTGCATTTGATATAGCAACTTATCATGTTGTTGAGGTCTCAAAGTGCTTCACAGAATATATATATATAAAGTAAATTGACTTTACTTTATAAAGTAAATTGACTGTATATTCTGCGGACGAAACACAGCAGCCAATTGCATGCAGCATGTTCCACAAACATCATGGATTGAGTGACCAAATTATGATTTTATTATTTTTTAAAGCGATCTGCCAATCGACGAACAGCCAGGTTCCTACGTACTGCAAGGTAAACAGAGGCATGTTTACCATGCAATGCCCTCTTTGGGCTGTTAGCCTCACAGAGGGTTGTGAGAATGTGAAACTCACTGCCATAAGCTTTGATTGAAGGAAATAGCATATTTAATACAAAAAGCTGCTGAATACCTGAAGGAGAAGGGAATAGAAAGGAATAGGAGGGGTAGAGGTTTGTGAGGAGTATAAACACCAATACGAACTAAATTGGGCTGAACAGCTTGGTTCTATGTTGTATTTTTTATATATATATATATAATAAACAGAAACATGTTTTATGAATATTATCTATACTAATAATCTTCTATGTCTTCTATTTATCTTCATATTATACAATAACAACAAGATTACATTTGTATAGCGCCTTTCACGTCGGGAGGATGTCCCAAGGCACTGGACAGTGTATAGCATTCCAGACCCGAGCTGGGGTCAGGAGGGGAGGGGAAGCGGGGTGGTCGATGGTATGGTCGAAGAGGAGGGTCTTGAGGCGGGACTTGAAGGAGGCTAAGGAGGGGGCGAGACAGAGTGATTGGGGGATGGAATTCCAGAGGTTGGGATTAAAAATTGTTAATAAAACAACAATGTCTGTCTGCCTCAATAATCGTTTGATGTAGAGACATGATTTATACCTAATTAGAAAGGTCTTGCAACTGGGAGTGACATGGGCATATTTGTTTTTGGGTATCATCTATCATTTATGAGTTATTTAAGTTTTGCATTTTTCACTATAGTTACACCTGGTGGAATGAAAGTAGCACGTTGGTGACCTGCGTCACAGAGCACGCATGTAGGCAAGCAGCAGGAACAAAATAAAGAACGCAGACAAAGCTAAGCCGCAGCAACAACAAAAAAAATTACATTTTTAAAGCTCCTTTCACGTCATGAGGATGTTCCAGAGATTATAAATTATACATTTATATTTATCATGATAAAGATGCCTAAGTGAAAATCAAACCTTTCAAGGATAAGTAAAAATGCTAGACAAAAGAGAGAAGGCCCATTAAATGAAACTGAAAAACAAAGTCTTCCCATAGAAGTCCTCCCAGATGAGTATAGATAAAGATGAAATGTCTGTGTATCTGTCTGTGTGTCAATCTACATTCCATATTGGATCTTTTGGTTGCAAGCGTAGCTGCATCGGGTAAAGCAAGTTCTATATAGTCAAGCATTCTTGAGATGCTACCTTGCGTGAAACACCTATATAAATGCAAGTTGTTGTATATGTAATTCCTAGGTGAAGCCTGATCAGAGCACTACATGGTGTGAGTATGACTTCTAGAGATCTGAAATCAACCAACTCCAACTAACTCAATGTAGCCCAGCAACCTGTTTGCCTTGTTCATTGCTGCCTTACACTGTTTCGACATGGTGGGCAACACTCCTAGATCTCTGTCTGCTTTACCTTGCCATCCATTGGGTACACCCATTTCCTATATACAGTACCTTGCATTTATCTGCATTGAACTTTATTTGCCAGGCATCAGTAATACTTAGTGATGTCTGTGCTCTTAGAGAGAAGGGAGTTTGCAGGAAGTTGAAACTGAAGACTCTAAGGCCAGGAACAAGGAACCTCAAAGAATCATTCACTTTGCAAATGGAGAAACCATGGAGGAATACAGTACTGATGAGGAAATTGAAGAGGAACAGAAAGCTACGGATCCGGTGAATCCGGTAGGTTCAAACTAAACAGTGACGCGTGTGGTTTTAGTTGAAATCTGGTGACATGTTGGGATTAATAGGAACAGGTAGGAGGTGAAAATTGAAAGTTTCCATCGGTGATAATGGCTACAATTTCTCAGTTCAATTGACATTAATGATACATTTTGTGTGAATGTAATGGTTGGTTGCTACAGTATGAAATTAGTGGAGGTTTGGGAGTGGGCTGTTTGACTTCTCTGAGAGGTCCCTTGGGAGAGGGGGATTCATTTGTTCTGAAAGAGCTGGCACTTACATTACAAGGTAAGGGGGGGGGGGGGGGCGGAGGAGGAGGCAGGTTCCTGATATTAATTAAGAGGAAACTGGTGCTGTCTATGTTAGATGTGGTCAGGGATTGAGTTTGTCTGTAGGGTCCTTCTCCTGCAATAATAATAATTCTTGCATTTGATACAGCAACTTTTCATGTCGTTGAGACGTCGCCAAGTGATTCACAGAATATATTGTAAAGTGAATTGACTGTGTAATTTGTGGGGAAAATGCGGCAACCAATTGCACACACCAGTGTCCCACAAAGTCATGGATTAAGTGACTAAAGTATTATTTTTTNAAGAGATTATTACCCCCGGAATGCGATCGTCCAACCGACTAATAACTAATAACCACATCACTCCCACCCTCGCTCGCCTCCACTGGCTTCCAATCCCCCAGAGGATCGAATTCAAGATCCTCATCCTCACCTACAAGGCCATTCACGGCCTCGCTCCCTCCTACCTCTCCGACCTACTATCCCCCTCCCTACCCCCCCATACACCCCATTCCTCTGGCTCCGGTCTGCTCCACATCCCCCGCTCCAACCGCCCTACCGTCGGTGGCCGGGCCTTCAGCCTTTCAGCCCCTAGGCTCTGGAACTCCATTCCCCAGTGCCTTCACCTTGCTTCCTCCCTTTCCTCCTTCAAGGCCGGTCTCAAGACCTTTCTCTTTGACCGTGCCTTCAGCTCCCCTCTCGACTCTCTACCCCCTCCTCGCTCCCTCCCTTCCCTCACCCTGACCATTTCCCCCCTCCTTGCTCCCTCCCTTCCCTCCCCTCACCCTGACCATTTTCCCCCCAAGGCTCAGGTCCTGACCCAATTGTCCAGCGCCTTGGGACGTCCTCCCGACGTGAAAGGCGCTCTATAAATGGAATGTTGTTGATGTTGTTGGTTCCTACTTACTGCTTGGTAAACAGAGGCATGTGGAGTAAGGAAACTTGTCTAAGGTTTCGCACCAGCCAGGATTCAAACCTGGGTCCCTCTTGCTTGTGAGACGAGGGTGCTAAACACTATGCTACAGGATTCCACATAATGGAGTAACCTGCGAAAATTTGATAATCTGGGTTCATGTGATCATGATGGCGGGGGTGGGGGGGGCGCTGCGGGGTGGAAGAGAAGAGACTGGTGCCTGTGAAAGCAAAGGAGCTTCATCACCTTCAAAGAAACAATAGTGCAATCCGACTGAATATTATGTTTATGTCTTCTGCCCTGATTTGTATTTCAGTCTGAACTTCCTTGGAGATGGTTCCTGTGGTTTCGGGTAACTCAAGTTGCCAGGATTTCCTTATTCAGTGAGTATTGTAGTTTGTTTTGTTTTAATTCAACCTGGCTCCCATGGTTTGGTGGGTAAATGTGGTATTAAGCACTACAGATCAGGAAAGCCCCATGCTTGGTCCTGGGTTAGCTGATCTGCACAGATGGTGGGGGATCTACAATTTGCCTGAGCGAGGGTGGCTGGTGAGAGGAATAATCAATTCCTGCTCTTGATCATAATTCAGTGATCTCTTCTCCCCACTCGCCCCCCCCCCACCCCGGGGTACAGCAGGTTAGGCGTTGAGTGTGGATCAGTTATGATGCCCCTTACAGGTAAATATGTGACAATGATAATAGGATCGTGCAGTCTCAGCTTGTCTCAGTCAGTAGCATTCTTGCTTCTGGGTCAAAAGCTTGTGGTTTGCAACCCCACATCAGGACTTGATCTTACAGTCTTGGCCACCACTCTTATGCAGTACTCATAGTCTTGTGGTGTAGTGGCTAGCGACCTTACAAGCCACCTTGGTCTTCTTTCGCCTAGCAAATTCTTATGTTCTTAAATACTTTGCATTGTTGGATGCTGCATTAATCATTCAATGAGTTGTTCAACTGAGCTCCCACCTGTTCAGGTGCACAACATCCCCGCAACACTGTTGGAAAAGAGAAAGAAGTTTCTCTTGGTGCCCTTGACAACATTCCTCCAGGTATAAATGTTCATACACCTTATGGCTGTCTGGAATCGAACCTAGGTCTCTCGCTTGCATGGCGAGTGCTCTAACCACTAAGCTACAGATCTCCTTTAGGAGGGACAGAACATTTTCCCTCTATTATGACAGTAGTCAAAGGCTGGTACTGAGACTGTCATTTTCTTGACATTTGCTTTTGCTTACTCCTAGCCTGTGATTTTCTTGGAGAGAAATTGGCCAGCCTATTGGGATTGACGTCAGCCAAGTACCAGTACGCTATAGATGAATATCACACTGTTCAAAATCAGGTCCTGTATAAATCTTTGTCTACACTGTTGAAATAGATCCCTGGAATATATTCAAAATTGCTTTCTAAAGCATTTTGTTTCAGACGTTCTTTGCGATTGAAACTTCATCCTAAAGCGAGTGATTTGTGCTGAGTCGTTACACCAGCCCCTGGTTAGCTAGTCAAGGTACAGGAGGAGGCCAGTTTACAGTATTACAGTTTATAGTATTTCATAATTACTTAATTTGTTAATTACACATTTGGGCATCAGCCTGGATCAGTACTCTCATCTCTGAGTCAGGAAGTTGTGAGGTTAAGCCCACATCAAGATTTGAACCCATAGTCTATAGGCTGATACCTCACTCCTCGTGTAGAACTCCCTCAGCACTGAAGTGCCCTGTCAATCCAAGGTCCAGTCTGACTGTTAGGTCACTGACATGTTTTGAAAAGAGAAGGGCGTTTCTCTCTTGTGGTGTCCTGGCCAACAATTCCCCAGATAAAACTGGTCATTCATTTTGTGGCTGTTTGTGAGACATTGCTGTGCTCAAATTGCTGTTTGTCTACCAAATACAGTCATTGCACGTCACAGTAAAATTATGTCACGCCTCCTTGAAATGTAAGGATTATCAGATGCTAGGTTCCCCCCCCCAACCACCACTGGAGGATAGTCACTTGTTGGTTACTTGACATCAGACAAGCTCCAGTTTGAATCTTCAAACCTTGGTTAACAAGTGAGCTTCCTGGTGAGCACCATCCTGCTCACAGCTTAGGGACACATCCCTACCCACCTAACAATGGCTCCTCCATTTGGAGGTGTAGAGCTTGAGCAGCAGGGTGTACTTTGCTGCACTGGTTCACTTGACCCAAGTGGTCTTACCTCTCTGCACAGTAACCAAGTGGGTTCCCAGTCTGGTCCGGACCCAGATTCCAGGTAACGCCTTCCAGCAACTGGCATCCCAAGCCTCAATTTTTCCTTATCAGCCACTTGACAGATATCTGCCTTCAGTGTGGCAGGAGGACCTTTACAGCATAGCTCATGATGTGACAGCTATTTTGATGTTCTAGATGTCTAAGCAATGCCACTTACACCATGCTTACTCAGCACCAATTGCTTGACCTTATGGGGGCTTTGGCAAATAGATGTGCTGTCATGAAGTTAATTCTGCCTCCAGGGTGCTCAGCAACAGGTCAGTGTAGGTCAGAGCCCTAGTTCCCTGTAGCCACCTACTTACCACAAAAATGTTCACATAAGCATGGCTAGTCAGGAATCCTGGTAAACCTTATGCCAGAGATACGTTAACTGTAGCTCCACCTTGGCCATTTCATCTGAGATTAACTAAATTCTAGAGGGTAACTCTAGAACATCTCCTATTCATGCATTGCTACATTGGCTTTCTTGATCCAAGTAGTGACATGTTGCAATGGGAGGAGAGGGAAATAAAGGTATTGAGGGGGTCAAAACATAATAATAATCTGTACATTGGTACAGCGCCTTTTGAAGCGGGAGAACATTCCAAAGTTCTTCATAGGATACACTATAAGGTGCAGTGACTGTGTGTTTTGTTGGCGGACTGGGTAGATAATTTGTGCACAGCAATGTTAATGACAAAGAATAAGTTATAAAATAACATTTTCTCATTTTGCTTCTTCCAATTTTAAAACTGAAGGCTGTTGATTACATTCCAGATCAAAGAAGAGGATGAAGATGGTGAAGAAATGGCTGCCATCGAGAACCCTGAAATGAACCATGAGAAACGACCACTGCCATTGCACAGCGTGGAGTATGGGACTATAACCGAGGGAGAGAAACTGAGGGATGGAAGTGATTCGGTGAACCAGCGGGCTGTAGCTTTTATCAATGAGGCAGTGGAAGCAGACATTGAAAGCAGTCACCAAAAGGGGGAAGATAGCAAATAGTGACTGTGGCCAAGTACCTGGTCAAACGTCCATTGTTTTAATACATTCAGAAAATGTGAGACTCAAGTGTGTCACACACACACATAGGCAGTAACCCACAAACACACAGACATAAATAGGACAACGGGCAGGCAATGGCATACTCGCAGAATAGCACGCAGTCAGTGACAAATACATGGGACCACTGTCAGACCTTAATGCACACAGAACAACACATAGGCAGTGACACACACATAGGCAGCAACACGCAGACAGGACAGCACACGTGTGGTAACGTAAACACAGAAGCACCAGCTGCTTAATCAGGATCTCATGTGAGGGGTTTTGGCAAATAGATGTGCCTCTCATGAAGTTAATTTGTAGGATGTAGGTGACAACACACAGGCAGGACAGTACATGACAGTACATGATATAGTGCCTGTCACAGAGAAAGCAATACACAGACAGGACAGCACACAGGCATTAACACAGACAGTAAGAAATAAATTGCCAAAAACATCTCAAAATGCTTCACAGTAATAACCGCCAAATACAGTGACTGTTTTTGTAGGTAAACATGGCAAGCATTTTGTACACAGCAAAGTGTCATAGCATTCACTTCATTATTCTTTGTTTGCTGTTTCTGTGCACAAATTGGCTGCTGTTTGCCTACAATTACATTGCACAGTAAAATCCTGTAAAGCACTTTGCGATGTTTTGACAAAGCGATAAGGCTCTACATCAAATCAAAGGGATATACTGTAGTTATAAGGTTAATGTATCAAGAGGATTTTTGATCAGTTCACTCGGATAAACTACCTTTATCTTCAAATTGCAGTGAGTCCTTATTGATTAAAACGAAACAGTTTGGTTTCACATAATTGGTCGTCACACAAGCTACACTATTAACATCTCATCTGAAAGATGACACCTCCATAAATATTGCATTAGTATCCTAAAGTGGACTGTGAGCTGAAGTCCCAACATAATAATAATAATAATCCTTACTTCTGGTACAGTACCTTTCATGGGAGAATCCCATCAAAGTACTTCATAGGATATACTGTACTGCAAAGTGCAGTGACTGGTGTTTTGCAGACGAACATAGAAGCCACAATCCAGAGAAGAGCGCTACTGATTGAGCCGACCTGATGGACAGAGAGACACATTCAGGGGGCTCAGAGCTTTATGTTGTTATTTGAGCAACTCTTGTTGTGCTCCTGCTCACTGGTTAGGAAACCCACCATCCAGGATCTGTTTAATCCTGGCTCCCATCGTTGTGTGGGTTGGGATTGTTGGCTTATTGGGACATTTTCTTTGAGGGATTCAAGTAAGTTGGATAGATGCTTGGAATGGATAAGTTTTACAGGATATTGTGAGAAGAAATTAAAAGTGGGATTAGGGGAAGAGATGCACCTTCCCCCTTTGTAGTTAGCAGCTCTGTGAAGATTGGCTCTGATCCACAAAGAGTTACTGAACATCACACGCTGCAAAAATCACATCATAGAGAAGATCAGGATGTGGCCTTGTTCCAACAGGAACTCGCTGAACTCAGAGTCAGGATGGCCAAGTGGAAGGAGTGAATGTATTGAGTCCTGGCCAGAGATACTCTCTGGCCAGAAATGTCACTGCTTTGATGCCTTTGTTTTAGCTTGAAACAATTTTGTTTGTGTTCTTAATAATAATAATAATCCTTGAATTTGATATAGCACCTTATTATGTCATAGAGACATCTAAAAACGTTTCACAGGATATATTGTAAAATGGATCGACTCTGTATTTTGTGGGTGAAACGCAGCAGCCAACAGCAGTGTCCCACAGACAGTTGTGGAGTGAGTGACAGTTTTTTAAATATGGATTATTACACCTGGAAAGCAATCCGCCAATTGACTAACAATCGGGTTCCTACTTATTGCTAGGTAAACAGATTCGTGTGGAGTAAGGATACTTGCCTAAGGTTTTGCCCCAACTGGGAATCGAGCCGAGTCCTCTCGCTTGCGAGGCGAAACGCTAATACTGTGTGAAGCTCTTTGAGATGTCTCATCAATGTGATAAGGCACTATATCAAATACAAGGGTTACTATTATTCTTATTGATAGTATAGGGGGAGGAAAAGAAGTGACACAGGGGAAATATTCTCCCCTAATCTAGGGGAGCTGAGGACAATTGTAGTGTCACGATCAATATCAGCTGACTCAGCCCAGACCAGGATCAAATCTGGACATTTCTTGTTGTGAAAGGCTCAGTTTTACACTGGGACGTGATTTTATTAAGTGAGCTATTGGGGAGTCCATAGTTCTACTGCTTCTTAGGTCTGGGACTATTTATAGATGCAATAAAATATGCCTGATATTTCCAGAGCAACTTGATGTTTTTGTAAATAAAGAATGATTTGTCAATACATTTAATAGTTAATACACATTAATGGGGTAGACTTGGAGCAGCCAGTGTGTGCTGCAAGGACAATTGATATTGGTACTGCTTATCATGTTGGAGTTGAATAGGTAAGCCTGCTATTGGGTGGATTCTGAGTGCAACACTGGTTTGCAGTGCTGTCCTTCTATAGTCTCAATGGTTCTTGGCTATTGTGGTAACAATAACAGCAATAATCCTTACCTTTGATACAGCACCTTTCATGTTGGGAGGTTGTTGCAAAGTGCTTCACAGGATACAAATACAGGTGGGTGACAATGAAGCAGGTGTTGGGGAGTGAGTGGTGCATTGCTTAGCTCTCTTTCTCCAGGCCGTGATGGGTGGCAAAGAAGCAGTTGTGGTGGGTCAGGAGTGAGTGATTAACATTAATTTGCATTGATCATTCTCATTTTATTTGTTGGGATGGATGATATTATTAATATAAAATGGGCCAAAGTTGCTGTTTGAATAAATCACATTCCACTCCTGCAATACCAGGTTCATGACACCAGAGGGACTCCTGGTCAATGCTATACTGTGTCTTCACAAAACCGGTCGGGATGAAGAAGGCTCCTCGGCCCATCCAATCTTATCCCTCCATAACACCCACTATACTGTTCCATTACCATGTAAATTAGTCTAATGTCCTGGCCTCTAATACTTTTCCTGGCAACCCGTTCCAATTATTGGAAAGAAAAACTTCCTGGCATCTGTCCTGAAGTTGCCCTTTTCAACTCTAATGCAATGCTTTACCATCACGATACAAACTAAAAAAGGTCCCAAATTGCTTTTAGTTGCAACTATTTGATTGTGCCTTTGGTCAACACCCTTAAATTTCCATCCTCTCCTCGCTGCTCAGTAATCCCATTGGTTTCTGAAATGCTTTGATACATTCATAATAATATAGGATGGTACAGTCATAGAATATTATATCTTAAATGTATGCCCCTGGTTACCAGCTACCAGTGGAAATAGATTCTCCCTATCTTATCAAAACCCCTCATAATTTTGAACACTCCTGTGAAATCTCCCCTTAACTTTCTCTGCTCTAAGGAGAACAATCCCAGCTTCTCTAGTCTCTCCACATAGCTAAAGTCCCTCTTCCCTGGTGCCATTCTGGTAAATCTCCTCTGCACCCTCTCCGGGGCCTTGATATCTTTCCGAAAGTGTGGTTCCCGGAATTGAACACAATAGTCCAGCTGAGGCCTGACCAGTGACTTGTAAAGGTTTACCAGAACTCCTTTGCTTTTGTACTCTATTTCTCTATTTATGAAGCCAAGGATCCAATATGCTTTTTTAACAGTTCTATAAACCTGTCCTGCCACCTTCAAAGACCTGTGTATGTGAACAGCCAGGACACTCTGCTCCTGAACCCCCTTTAAAACTATATCATTTAGTGTATATTGCCCCTCCTCATTCTTCCTCCCAAAATGCATCACCTCACGCTTTTCTGCATTAAACTTCATCTGCCATGTGTCTGTTCATTTTGCCAGTCTATCTGCGTCCTCCTGCAATCTGCTACCATCCCCCTCATTATTTACTATGTTCCCAAGTTTTGTGTCATCTGCAAACTTTAAAGAGCTGTGGACCTAATACCGACTCCTGGGGGACACCACTGTATACTTCCAGGCTGAAAAATAACCATTCACCACTACTCTCTGCTTTCTGTCTCCCAGCCAATTTTGTATCCATGCTACCACTGTTCCTTTTATTCCATGGGCTTCAATTTTGCTAACTAGTCTATCATGTGGTACTTTATCAAATGCCTTGCGAACGTCCATATATATACCACATCAACTGGACTACCTTCATCAATCCTCTCTGTTATTTCATCAAAGAACTCGATTAAGTTTGTCAAACACGATTTGCCTTTAACAAATCCGTCTTGACTGTCATTAACTAACTTATGTTTTTCCAAGTGAAAATTAATTTTGTCCAGGATTATGGTCTCTAGAAGTTTCCCCATTACCGACGTTAGGCTGACTGGCCTGAAGTTACCAGGTTTATCCCTCTCCCCATTTTTGATCAGGGGTGTAAGATTTGCAACCTTCCAGTCCTCAGGCATTACTCCCATATCCAAGGAGGATTGAAAGATTGTGGCCAGAGCCTCCGCTATTTCCACCCTAACCTCAGCAACTTAGGATACATCTCATCCGGACCGGGTGACTTTTCTACTTTGAGCGCTGCTAACCTTTTAAGTATCATCTCTCTATCCATTTTTATCCTATTCCTATCCAATTTCTCTATCCCTTCCTTTACTGTGAAATTGGCAGCATTCTCTTTTGTGAAGACAGATGCAAAGTACTAATTCAGTACCTCAGCCATGTGTATTGCACAAGATGAGGCTCCCCTGCTTCACTGCCGATGACTTTCTGCATTTCACATTATGACGCTGCTGTTCGGATTTTCCTGGAGGGTGAAAGTAAGCAAAATTTGGAATTGGGAAGGGGACCCTTAAACAAATTTGGGCACCAATCGGCCTTGTTACATCACTGAGTGTTAAATCAATTGGAGTAAGCAGACTGAATATGTCACCTCTGAATGATAAATACTGTATGAGTAAAGTACATGTAACAGACTCCTTAACACACATGACTGCAGTGAACATATAGATTTCTATTAACATGAGCTGCTTTGGAATAAGCTCTAATGGTTGAAAGGAAATCTGTTATGCTGTGGTCACTCTGACTTCATATGTACTCTGCTGGCATGCAGTGTTTGGGGGGGGGAAATAATAATTTCAATAAAAGAATGGTGATCACAATAAATCTGGTTGCTGGGAGCAGTCAGTGATGTGCCAGGAAATCACTTACAAGCAAAAAATGGCAGAGTTTCAGTAATAAATAAACCACTGTACTTGACTCCTGTAAAATTATTAAAAAGTCAGCGCTATTCAGATCGCTTAATCCACCACCAGATTCTTAATACGTTGCTGCAAAGTTTTAAGTAAAACAAATTGAGGGCAGTT